TCCCTCACCGCGGGGGCCTTGATCTGCTCCTCCCACGCCCCTCCCCTCCCCTCCCCTCCTCCACTTCCACCACAACAGACTTACCAGTTGCATGCAGTTCTCCAAGCTGCCGGGCTGTGCTCCTCGCCACCTACGTGCTGCACAGTGGCTGCATGCATGCACAGGCCATTTATTGGCCATATTATCGGCCATAGGAGGTCAAGTTCTGATACAAACAGTTTTCCTGATATTGGTGCTGATCCGATTATTGGACCGATGTATCGGTACACTTCTAATAGCAGTAGCTGAGAAACAATTTGTGAGCTGCACGGTACAGTAGCATTAATTTGAAATCATCATCCTTCACTAAGCGCAATAAACTAGATCATTGTTTTTGAACATGTGGTCCATGGACCCCCTGAGGATCTGCAGACTACGTCTAAGGGGTCCACAAAAGAAGAGTTATCAATCAAAAGCATGTGAATGCCCACATTTGCAATTCAGAGGGGTCCGTAACCTCCACTCAAAATTTCCAAAGAGGTTTGTATCTCCATTCCAATTTTTTTAGGGGTTCACAAATGAAAGAGAATTGAAAGCCACTGAAATAGAACAAGGAGTTATAGTATTTATTATCCTTATAAAACTGACATCCCACTCAGAATAATTTATTAGACAAATAGGTCAACATTCTCACAAAAATTGTGCATAAATTAAAACTTTACTTTTTAAGAAGGGTAAGTGTCTGAAAACGTGAGAGAATTAGAGTCAGAGCATCTTAATTGACTGCATCCAGGCTTCTTTCCGTTTAGGTTTTTTTTTTTTTTTAATCTATAAGGTCTTTGAGTATTGTACAGGTAACTTAATAGACCTGCACACTTTCAGTTTTGTCCTTTTTTATCTCTGAAAGTATTAAAATCTTTTAAAAGGAAAAGGGAGTGGAATATATGGAGAAAATCATCAACTCTACCTCCCCCAAAGCAAGGCACTTAAAATATGCTGCTGCATACAATCTTGGTAGAGCATATTTTGAAGGATATGGTGTTAAGCATTCAGCAGAAGAGGCAGAAAGGTAACCTTATTTAATTTTTCCTATGATTTATATGAGACACTGAATGGTGATATCATTTATTGCACCTGCCTTCTTTCCCTTTCACCCTTATTTTTTTTCTGTAGACTTTGGCTTATTGCTGCAGACCATGGGAATCCAAAAGCAAGTGTAAAGGCTCAGAGTACCCTTGGAATGCTTTATTCTACAACAAACCCAAAAGATCTGAAAAAGGTAATGCCTCCCCCCCACACCTGGCCAAATGCTGGATCCAGGGCATATGGCACCTGTTGTGGTTGCTCTGGGATACATGTCGCACACGGCACCTGTCCTAGCCAACCCAGGATGGGGCCACGTGATGGGGAGAGTGCCCATCTGCGTGTCCTGGAACATCTGGGGGCAGGGAGCACTGCATGTGGCACATATCCTAGGCCAGGAGCAGGCAGTTATTTCTGGTGGAGGGCCACTTACCCAGTTTTGGCAAGCTGTTGAGGACCACATGGGTAGCCCTGCCCCCTGGTCACCATCTTGGGACCAATGTCCCAATGTCTTGGGACCAATGTCCCAGGGCCAGCAACAATGGGGCCCAGAGCAGGGCACAGGCTGGCAGGGGTCTGTGGAGCCGGGATGGGCTGCACCAGCAGGGAGGGGGGAGCTGGCTCGGCTCCATAGAGCCCCTGCTGGCCGGGACCCTGTACCCCTCCTACCCTGCTCTAGGCACTGCTGGCACTGGCCCTGGGACACCGGTGCGGGCCCTGTGCTCCCGTGCCCACTCTCCCAGTGCCCCCCAGGCCCACGGTACAGGTGGGGGGCAGCGCACAGCCCCAACCCCGTTTGCCAGCAGGGAAGGAGCTGGTGTGGACTATGGGGAAAAGCAGCTCCCACCTACCCCGTGGCTGGCACTCCCTGCTGCAGCCTGCTCAGGACAGCCCTGCACAGGCTGCAAGCAGCTGCAGCAGGGAGCGCTGGCCACAGGGCAGGCGAGGAGCCGCTTTTCCCTGAGCTCTGCACCAGCTCATTCCCACCCCGCCCCAAGCTTCCCATGCTGGGGCAGCCATGTAGTTCTAGGCCAGACGCATATGGCACCTGTTGTGCGCCTGGGTGGGCCTTGCCGTTGCAGGAGCCTGCCAAGGATTCCCTTGGGTCCTACTGCACCTGGTTTCTGTCATTTTTGACAGGAACCAAGGACAGATAAAAACATTTCGAAAATTAAAATTTAAGTGCCCTGTGGGCCAGATAGAATGGTCTCGCGGGCCACATCCAGCCTGTGGGCTGTATTTTGCCCACTCCTGTCCTAGGCCCTGTATGTGGGGCCGGTGCACCATGCGATGTGTGCAAGTCCACTCTGGCCTGTTTGACACCCATGTGCAAAGTACAGCTGGTGAACGCATAGTTATCCCCAAAAATTACTTCAGTAGTGCAAAATATTCATTCAGCTACATTAAAAATAACTTTGTGGCACTTCTTGTAGGCATTTTTCTGGCATTCAGAAGCTTGTGGCAATGGAAGTCTGGAGTCACAGGGTGCACTTGGCGTTATGTATCTTCATGGACAAGGCATACATCAAAATTCAAAGGCTGCTTTGGAGTGCCTGAAGGAAGCAGCAGAACGTGGCAATGTCTATGCTCAAGGCCATCTTGTTGAATATTACTACAAAAGAAAAATGTATGCTACAGCTGCCACATCAGCCAAAAGGTGAACTTAATTTCAGTTAACAATTTTTAATACTTGTCAGTCTTGCCTACTAGAGACATATAAGATATTAATTGATAACTGCCAGACTTGATCTATAGAAAGTAAACAAAAAAGCTGAAACAAAATTAAGAACCAATAATTATGAAGACTTCAGTCATTTAACTCTATTCTGTTCTTTCTGACCACTTGAAGCAAAAATAATCACAGGGGGAAAAAAAATGAAGAATGGAATATCAAAAGTAATTTTGGATGTTAATAAGCATCTTCCATGTCACCAAGTTAACTACATTGTGGTTGGGAGGGAAGCCAAACTCTATGGCACGTCTGGCACAGGGTATGTTGTTAATTTTGCAGGCTGCAGTGTTAAAAATATCCAGTCTGTATCACCTCCATTTTACATGTCTTGCCTGTGTGCTTGCAGAACTCCATATGGTAGGTGAGCAGAACAATGAAGCAGAGAAAGAAAGAATTGACTAAATTACAAAACAGCTCTAAATCATTTGTAAATATAATTCAGGTTTATGCAACTCACACATAAATATATTCCTGGAAATAACTCCATATATGAAAAGGGATCATAGGAAAGCAGGACTGGGAGGGACTTCGTGAAGTCATCTAGTCCAGCCTCCTGTTCCTGGCAGGCTTATCCCTGACTAAAGCATTTCAGCCAAGTGTCTGTATCCCTGCTTTAGAAAATTTCCATGGATGGAGTCCATAGCTTCTCTCTGTAACCTGTTTCACCTTCATAGTCTGAAAGTTCTTCCTACTAAATTTCCCCTGATGCAGTTAGAGGCCTTTGCTTCTTGTCCTGTTCTCTAGGGCCACAGAGAAAAGCCCATCTCCATGCTCTCTATAATCACCCTTTAGGTATTTAAAGACTGTTATCAAATCCCCCCATAGTCTTCTCTTCTCAAATAAATAACCATAGTTCTTTAAGCCTTTGCTTATAAGTTTTGCTTCCCAGGCCTCTACTTATTTTTGTTGCTTTCCGCTGGACTCTTTCTGATCTATCCACATCCTTCTTAAAGTGCGGGGCCCAAAACTGGACACACTATTCCAGGTGAGGTCTCGCCAGTGCTAAATAAGGCAGAAGAGTCACTTCCCTTGATTTGCATGTGATAATCCTCTTAGTACAATCCAGTATGTTCTTGGCCTTTTTCTGCAACACAAGCTGTTTGCTCATGTTCAGCTTATACTCTACTGTAGTCTCCAGTACTCTGTAGTACTGTAACCTAGCAAGTCACTCCCTAGTTTGTATTTGTGCATACACTTATTCCTTCCCAAATGGAGGACTTTGCATTTATCCTTGTTGAATTTCATACAATCAGTTGCAGACCATTTTTGCAGCCTATCCAGGTTATTCCAGATCCTAACCCAAGAAGGTTCAAACACTCCAGAGTGTTTGAACCTCCACCCAACTTGATGTCATTTGCTAAGCCTGCACTCAAGTTCCCCCATCCAAATCATTAATGAAGATTTTGAACAAAAATTATGATAAATAGATGACAAATAAAACAACCACCTCTCTTTTCTCCCACTTTCAGCTTCATATGGAATTTTCTTTTGGGTTGAAGCATTTGAAGAATCATATTTTTCTGGTTTCTATTCAGAAGAGACAAGCAACTTTCCACTTGCAATTTCCAATCAGCCATTTTCAAGTGGCTCCATTCTGTCAGATCTGTCAGATACACCAGGCAGCCATCTGTTTACCCATCAACAAAGTATGATCACCACTTTCACATTAGGGTTATTTTTTCTAAGGAAATAGAAAGAACCACCACTGGCTTTTTATTCTTCCTCTGGCAGGTTCCTCTAGGAGAAGCTTTCCGTTTCTTTCTTGGCCTACAGAGCTGTTACACCTTTTCACTCTCTTTACTTGCATCTTTTTTTGTAAGCAGCATCATGCTATCCCTTCCACTTTCCCCAATAATAGGCAGTTTTAGAGTTTGCATGGAGCCCAGCACTTTACAACCTGGCATTTGTAAGACTAAATGATGTTATGTGATAGTACACCATTATGTTGAAGTAAATTCCAGTTCTCTCCATTCAAGAAAATTAACTAGGTTTCTCTATAAAAACCTGACAACATACAAGTAAATCATATGACAAACTACTATGGCTTAGGATCAGTAATGCTTTCTAACTGAGCCCAGGGCTGAGGTGACTGACTGCTGGTTTGTTTACACAGTTAGTGAAAACTAGAATGAGACACTGGACAGGAGAAAATTAAGTTGGTCCCAGTTCTGCAGAAGCTGGGTAACCAGGTGTAAACCATGAAATGTGTGTGCTGGTAAAGCCAACTAAAGATTCTACCTGATCTTTCAGTTTCTGAAGACAAAAAAAGAAAAAAAAAATAGGTAAAATGACCTTGTATACAAGCTGTATACAAAGCTCCTCATCCTTCAGGTGTTAATATGCTTCTTCTGCACTGTGTATAAAGAATCATTAACAATATATAACTTTGAAGGAAACACTGCTGCTGAGGATGATTACCTAAGTGTGTCGGAGATTATCAAAAAAATTGGAGCTCAGATTCATTTCTGACCATCCCAGAACTGAGATGTTTAGTCAGACGAATTTCCACATTTGGACCTAAAAATAATGCTTCTTGCTTCAGGCTGGACTTCTGTTTTTTCCCCTCATAGAGCACTAGCCATTCACAGTATGAATCAAGCAGCCGTATCAACTTGGGTTACTGTCCTCTAAATGCTCTGGTATGACAAATTATTCTGACAAATAAGAGTGTCCCTTGTCAATAGTAGTCACATTTGCACCAAGCAGCAGCAAAACTATCACAGTTAGAAGCGACAATTTCTACAGTCAACTGTACTGTCAATGTGCTTAAAGCAGCCCCATCATATTGATATCGTAGTTGTCCTTGGGCCTGAAGTCTGTCCACAGCTCAAACAACTGTCATATCAAACAACAGTATCTTTTTGCTCACATTGCTGTGCCTTTCTACCTACCTATATGCCACTTTGCAGCACTTCTTACATGAAGACCTGCTACTTTTCAGCTCCCAACATAGCACGGACAAATTGCCTGCAAATCTGGAGCATTTATTTAAGAAATATGCCAAATTACTTCCTTGCATTCTTGCATGTCACCAAAATAGGAGCACACTTGTATTTTCAATCGTATTTGTGGCCATGACATGGTGAGGTGGCCTACTAATGGTCAGAACTAGGCCGTTTGAAATTTGAGTTGGACACTTTGTAGCCTTGAGTCATGGAAAACATGGTTAATAATTATGTCTTGCTTTTTTATGTAATTTAACCCTATCACCATGGTACCTTCTTCAGCAAGATACTCTTAGTGACCTTGGGAATTGGACTCGATAACCTATAGAGGTCTCTGCCACACCTATTTCTTTATAATTCTATGACTTACATAATATTTTACTTGCTTATGATGATTTAAAGCATCTTTCTCTTTATTAGTTTCATCCACATCCTATTATGCTTTGAAAAAGAAGGCAAAATATGTGCTTTTGTTTCTCTTTTCAGGAGATGTTAAGTATAAAGAGGCATGGAACAAATTGTTGTTACTTCATCTGAGTTTTAATCAGTCACCACTTTTTTGGACTGTGCTATTGGTATTTTCTAAAGATGGTGGTATTAGGGTGGAAAAGCATTACCATTGACACATGTAAGTGATTTAGTTAGCCAGCACTAACATGCAGAGCTATGCTCCAGACAATCAAATTTATCAACAAGTGTTCTTTGACTATGCCTTAAGCTATGTGCACTTAATTGTGAAACCAGTTTCTCTGGTTTAAAGACACAATTGATATCTAATTCAGTGAAGGAAAAACATGGAATTCTCGATAGCAGATAAAAAGTGGTTTTGCATTTTCTCATTTCAATCTATTCACTTCATGCATTTGATGCATATTACAGCATATTACAGATAGCTGGTTCACTCTTGGTAATGTTCAGCTGCACTTCCAGACTTACAGTTTGACATCACTGTCATACCCTGGGTAAGATGATGTTCATGCTCCTTCCTAGGCCCCTCAAAAGGGGTGTTACCCGTAACTGCAATCCTGAAATTGAAGAGGTAGCAGGCAAATATGCATACAATGAAGGAAGAAAAGAGTTGTGTTCAATGTGTTACTATTCAAAAAACCTTCATCAGCATCAGAGCTTTAAAAATACAGTAACCAAAAAATGATTTAAATACATAGAGGTATTGTGGGCCATGGTATTCAGAAAGCTTGTATCAGAAGTTTGAGATTTCAAAAAACTATATTTTTTAAAAAGTTCAAATTATTATGGTCCCTTTAAAATGCACTAGCAAACCATGCATAACTGAACTTCAGTAAACACTGCCAGTATTCCTTGGAGAAGCCCATAGAGTGCTCTTTAGCCTGGAAAAGTGCAGGCTCAGGGGTGATCTGATGGCCACCTATAAGTTTATCAGGGGTGACCACCAGTATCTGGGGGAACGTTTGTTCACCAGAGCGCCCCAAGGGATGATGAGGTAAATGGTTATAAACTGCTGCAAGACTTTTTCAGGCTGGACGTAAGGAAGAATTTCTTCACTGTCTGAGCCCCCAAGATCTGGAACAGCCTGCCATCGGAGGTGGTTCAAGCACCTACATTGAACACCTTCAGGAGTAAATTGGATGATTATCTTGCTGGCATCCTGTGACCCCAGCTGACTTCCTGCCCTTCAGGTGGGGGGCTGGACTCAATCTTCCAAGGTCCCTTCCAGCCCTAATGTCTATGGAATCTGTGAAATGGCCACAAGTCCTCTACATAAAATTTTCAGATATTCCCCCCTAGACTTTCAAATAATTGGGGTTTAATAATAACTTGTTATGGACTTAAAACTCTTACAAAAATGAAAAGCATTGCTGTTCATTCAAATATCTGAATTTCAATAAACTAACAGCATTTGAATGGAAATGTATGATAAGCATGGAAAAAAATGCTGTCTTGCAGTTAGCACAATTATGGTGAAAGTGACCCAAAGTAATTGGATATTTGTTCAATATTTAAGTATTCTGATCATGTTTTTAAATAATTATAAAATTTATCATAATAGAATATCTTTGTTCAGTATGCTGAAGTCTGTGGGTAAATTTCACCCTATTCTGGTTTCCAGTATTGTCACAGGAAAGGATGCAAGTCCACAGCACTGTCCACAGAGTACCCAACTAGTGACGTTGATCAATGCATGTACTTTGTGTCAACACATCCTTTACTGTTCATATAGCTGATTTCTATGGATGTACGAAATACCCACCTTTAACCTTATGTTATAATTTCCATAACAGGGTTGCAGAAAACGATAACATCGATCTGTTAGCAAAGATAACAGATTGCCTTCCTGTATACATAGCCAAAGGCGTTGCTATGGCTACTTTCTACTTTGCTAGATGTCTCCAGTATGGCCTAGGCATGCAACAAGATCAAGCTGCAGCTAAAAAATATTATTCTAGGGTAAGCTTGGGAGGCCCTACAAACTTATTTCTAGAGCATAAGATCATCTGAGTGAAACCTCACATTTGAATTCTTAAGAACCTGCTGTGTTGGTTACATTAAGGGCTCCAACAATATTTATGAAAATATTCTGTGTTCTAAAAAAAAAAAAAACCCAGACTCAATGAAAACCCTCTCTAAACTACTATAAACAGTATCTCAAGTTCCTGCTTACTAGGGCTGTGCAAAGCTTCAGTCGCTGATTTGATTCAACAGAGATTTGGCCTGATTCAGTGGCTGAATCTCCAAATCAGGAGACCCTTTAATGTATCTGAATCAAATCGGAACCCTCCAAATCAATTCAGAGAGATCCAACGATTTGGACAAACAGCTTTAAACATTTTTTTCCACATACCTCAAGGTACCAGGCGGCTTGTGAATGCTGAGATGCTGTGGTGGATGGAGGGTCCCACAGGAGCGCAGGGGGTCCCCAGTGCACTCGGCAGCAGACCCAGAAGTGGACTAGAAGTACTTCCAGTCCACTTCTGGGTCCACCGGGGAGCACACGGGGGGTACCCCCCCGTCCTCCCCTGGCCCGGTGACTCCTAGGTCTAAGGGGGCAACCCAGGGTCCCCCCACGGCTGATCACTGAACCGGAAGGGTGTGGGGGGTCCCTAGCACTCTCGGCAGGGACCCAGAAGTGGACCAGTAGTACTTCTGGTCCACTTCCAGGTTCACTGCCAAGTGCATGGGGGGCCCCCCATGCTCCTGTGGGACCCTCCATCCACCCCAGCATCACAGCATTCACAAACCGCGCCTGGTACCTCGAGATATGTAGAAAAAACATTTAAAGCTGTGTCTATGGCCAAATCACAGATTCTCCGAATCAACATTGAATCTTCAGATTCGGATTCGGCCGAATCGAATCAGGACAGTGATCTGAATCAGTGGTGATGTATAGGGGCTGTATGGGGGTGTACATGCCAGTGTACCCCCTCACAGGCTGCGCTCCCCACTTAAGCGATGGGCAGAAGGGGCAGGCAGGAGTGCCGGCGCCCACCCTATGAGCGCCAGCTGAGGAGTGGGAGCACCGGATGTAGCGCTGCCACTTCCAGGAGTGCTGCGGCCATTTCCCAGTCAGTGAGTTTTGCTGTGGGGGGCGGACTCCCCCCCAGTCGCTGACTGGCCACTGTGGGGGCATGTACCCACCCTGACTACGGTGGCACCAGTCGCCCATGATCCAAATCAACAAATCAAATCACTGTCCCCAATCTGGGCCAAGTCCAAATCCAATACAGCCCAATTTGCACACCCCTACTGCTAACCCACTTACGTAATTTGTTTTGATAAACAAGTAAAGTCTTATTGTAATCACTACAGCAAAGGTGTATGATTTAAGATTGGGTTGATAAACTTGCATGACAAATTTGTAAAATGATTAAAATAATATTTCTCCCTGATTTCTTTTGAAATAATCCTGGCTTGGTTTTTTTCATTTGTTTTCTGTGGAATACCACTGACAGAAACTCAGCTCTTGGGACAGAGTTTAGTCAAAGGCTCCTGTAAAGGAATGATCATAGTTCCTAGATAAAAACTGCTTTTCTTTAAAGAGTGAAAAGCACTGTCATTAAAAAAAATCCCAAAGAAAAGCTGATTTTCTAAAACTTTTGAAGTCAAAAGTGGTAGACATTAGTTTTAAAGCAGCGCCATCCATTGCTCAAAGACATCGGTGGAGTTTCCACAAACACCCATTATTTCCTCACCTACTTTAGAATAACTACTCATAGCAAAACATATTTCAGACCCTTTGCAAATTCGGTATGTGTGCTCCCCTCTGAGATTGCCAACAACAAGCGTGCCAAATGAAAAGGTGCATTTTGGAGGTGAGCACCTATTCCCTAGATGCAGAACTATCACCTTGTTTGACACTAAAGAGCTATCAGAAAAATACAACTCTGTCATTGCTGGCCTGCAGTATATTTGAGTCAGTGACGTAGAAGTGAAAAGGCTTGGTTTCCCATTGCCAGTCCTCTTGTCCCAAAGAACAGTGATCAAGAGTATCTATTTATTTTTTACTCTGTTTAGAAAGTAATTTTGTCATTTAATTGAACAATTGGCCAGAAATAAAGGGAAAATGTATAAATCCTAATTTGCACACTTCAGATGATATCTGCCTAACAGGAACAGATTATATAATGATACTGAATTTGGTCCATGTGGTTTTATAAGGAGATATTAGAAGACAGGGATCCAAGAACAGATTCTACAGCTGATGGAAACTGATCCCACTTTTTAAAGTCACCTGTAAACAGATTTGGTTTCTTGATTTAGGTGCCAGGACACGCCATACTTACAAGTGATTGAGGGGAATCAGCTTTTGTCCAGTCTACATCTTGAGTGTGCTGATTTCACAGAGCAAAGCAGCTGAAATTTTCTTAGGTAGAATTAGAAGAAGGGATTTATCTTTTATTGAGTTGGTTTTAATATTTTAGGAAGTTGATCATCTCAGACAAATAATGTTTATAGTGTAGATTAGTCAATGTACTGTACAAACTCATTTCATGATTTGGCTTTAAAATAAAACTCCCTTTTCTTTGTTTTCAAAGGCATGCCTTCTGGATCCTGATACAGTTTCTGACCTTGAATTGGCAGCTAATCATGGAAAAATTTAAAATATTTCATTTTTAAGCAAATTCCAATCCAGTTGCTTCCAATGTTGTGTAAAATTTCAGGTAGTAAGCCATCTTCAGTCTTCAGCAGCCGGTGGATAATCAACTGTTTCTTTGTTTCTTACCCATCTGAAATCATGATAATTGTGCACAGTGTTTGGTGCTTAGAACGAAGTACATTTTGCTGACGTTGATTTGTTTTTCAACAGCTCTAACTTAGCTTAGTTGAGGAAAATTATTCTTTTATTTCATTGTAAGAAAGTTTACTATATGCTCTAGATATTTTGCTGACACAGCTTGCCAGCGTTTCCTAAATTAAAACTGCTGTGCATAGTCCTCAAGGCCAACTACAGTCAACTTAGAGTAACTGTAAATGGCAGGTTCATTTACTTACAAATTCTAAAAATGCAGCATCAGCAAAATCTTGAACTGTCTGAATACTTGCACTTAAATAAAAGGTCCCCTTTTCTCATAGTCTGTTCACAAGCCATAATCATATTTTTAAATCCAGTATTGACTAGTAATCAATAATTGAAGATGCATGCTTTCCTTTCCACTCATCTTTTTGCTAGGTACTTTACCACATCTAGGCCTTCAGTTTCTCCTGGGAGAGTCACTGCTTTCTACTTAGAAGCCACGAGTAGTGTTCAGATATTCAGGATTTCTGTTCCAGAGCAAAAATGGCTGCTTCCAGAGAAGAAATTACCCTGAAACAACCAGAATGAAGTGGCTCCCAAGAGATTTTCTCCTGAGAGAGCAAACTTCTGCAAATGTATCTTCTGAGAGAAGCTGCAGCAGTCTTCCAGCATCCCAGTGTGCTTTGCTCCCAGCCTCCCCTACAGGTCCAGAGATACAGTGTGTTACATGGCTTGGACTCTACTGCTCCAGTTGAGCAGGGAGCCCCTTCATAACCCCCTCATTGCATTGCAGGAAGACAGCCTGCAAGGCAGTCTGGCTCAGCCAATCAGGGCTGTCCTGTGCACAGCTCTCTGTCACCAGACAGATTGGGCTGCCTGCAGAGCATGCTCAGATGCGTACACACAGGCTCCTTGCCTGCACCGTGGCTTGGCATTCGAGCATCTGGTCATAGGTCTCTGGGTAAGTTTTTTGTGAGGAATACAAACCTGGGAGAATTTTCCCAGATCATTTGAACATATGCATGCGGTCTGTGCCTCTGAAATGCAGCCAAACTTCCTAGCAGATTACAGTTAGGTGGTAGCTGTACAGGGTTGGGAACTGGCATGCGTGGCAGATGCTTTGCTTACAGTTTAAATCATGGTAGCCTTTGGTAACGGAAAATCCAATTTATAGAAATTAATTATAGAAAAAAAACCCCTCTATGCTAGTGTACAGATTCCTGCACCATAATTCCTTAATTCTTATCCATGCTGCAAGTTCAGTTTTTCTTACTGACATATCATCAAGCTCTTGGCCCAAGAGAGAATAGGTTGAATACATAGCTAAGGAGCAGAATTATACTCAGTCTCCTAGCATGAGATACTTTTTCCCCCTCTGTGTCTTCAGATACTATCAACCAACAAGTCTCATTGATTTCTACAGCAAAAAAACTTTTTGAACAATTTTGTTGCAACTTTTCATCTCTAAAAGAATTCAACTAGCCTTTTAGGACTGTGCTGTCAAATGAGAAATTCAAGGCTGTAGTGTAAAGGAATTCTTGCTGTGATAAATAAAAAAATTATGTTGTCTATAGATCTTGTCTACAGAACCTAAGTATTGCCAAACTGAAGTGAAGTGGTTTTTCAGGGAGCAAAACTGTATTGGTTTAGTTTAAAAGAAAAAATAAATGTCACCTACCAACTTTTGATGGCATTTAATTATTCATATGTTTACTGACACCATAATTTCACTTTCTTACAAAAATGAAAAAGTGCTATGTAAAGATGCATTTGTTTCCCTTCCTTTGTATGAAATCAGAGACAGATTTAAAGGTTACTTGAAAGGGGGACATTCAAGTGAAGCAGCCCTGAGTGATATCAGAGTGCAGTTAAAGTGGTTTAATTGAGTATCAAATAAACAAGGAAATGAGCAATTTATAATCACCAATCTCTGAGCAAACCAAATGCATTAGAGTGATGCCCCAATTTGTTATGCGTGCTAGACACAGACTTCAGTGCAATGTAAATATTCCTTGTAAGACTAGTCAATGTCCTGTCTCTTCACTAGCTACTAGTACAGCCTAACATCACGTACTGCAATCCCATTTCATTATTTATTGCTTACAAATGCTTTAAACTATGGGAAATCTTTGGTAAAAATAAAATAGATAAAATTTTCACAATAACTTTACATACAGTATTGCACAACAAGGCTCTTCAATGCACAAAAATAAAGGAATGTTCAAATCCTCAATGAGGAAATTAACTGTACAACATTCATTGGTTTACCACTAATTAAGCAAAACTTTTTTCATAAATGTTTAAAATATTTCCTAGATTTGTATAGCTTATGTTAACATTTACATTTCAATCTGTATTTTAAACAAAAAAGTAATCAAATATAACAATTTAAATAAAAACTGGCAACTATACAGCATTGTTTTTCTACCCTACTACAGCATCAGATCTTTTCAAATCTGTTTACTTCACATAAACCTAGAGAAAAAAACCCTAAAAATAATCAATAGTCCTCAGTTGGTCCTCTGGAAAAGAGGAAAATAAGTTTCATGTCTATTATTACACATAGACATTTATTTTGTGGTCCACTTGTGCAGATTCAAACCTAGGCCACTTTAAGCTGCTCTAAGTGATCTTTTAGCTCAGGACACAGTTCGTTTAGCAGCAGTTCCAGCAGGACCTGAAGAGAAGTAAAAAATATATATACATTCAAATGAATACAGACAACAAATGAGAATTTTTGCTTCTTTTGTGAGGTACTCAGAGCATCACAGATAATAAGATCTACCTACATTCAGTTATTCCATTCTTTAGTCCACTACAATTAATTTCTGTGTGCCAGGGAATCCCCTTTAGTTTTGATATTCCTCAAACTGATTCCTCAAAACTAGGACATTAAAAATATCAGGTTATGATCATCTAGAGCAGGGGTGGCCAACCTATGCTACACATGCCACAAGTAGCACAGGCACCCTCCATGTGTGGTGCACAGCAGGTGCACAGAAGGAGTGGACAGGCACACTGTGGCAAATGGGGCAGGGAACTCAGGTCAGGAAGCAGAACAGCAGATCAGGCAGGGGAAGGGGATTGGAGTGGCACTCAGGGAGGGTACAGGACTAATCTGTGGCATGCCTATCAGAAAGGTTGGCCTCTACAAATTGAGGAAAGGAATGGTCAGAGAGTGCTGGGATCAGGTACCAAATCACCAGGTAATGTATTTCAGTGCAATTCTGTTGAAACCAAAGTGACATCACTTAACACCACCAGATAACCTGGTCTGCTGTATTTAAAAGTGCCATCTCAAACAAGAAAGTAGCATTATGTTGGATTTCTGTTTCAAGAGGAAGTTTATTAAAACACCTTTTCAATGTGTAAAATTAGGAAGTCAAAATGACATGATAAATAAAGAATTTCACAGCTTCCCTTTAATGGGAGAAAAATGGCATCTGGCCCATGGAGCCAAGTTATCTGGCCTGCAAAACCAGGGGGGGGGGGTGGTCCAGGGGGATGTAACCCATGTGGTGGCTGGGTGGTGGGGTAAAAGGACTGTGGCACTGCAGGAATGGGAAGCAGCAACTGGCAGCAGTACGAGCTAGGTTAAAAGTGGCCTGCACTTGGAGCTAAGCTCTATTAAAGCAGCCCTGCTACAAAATGTTACCAACCCCTGTTCTAAAGCAGTCGTTTCCAAATACACCTACACACAAGTAAGCTTACACAAGTTGCAAGCCTCACCTGTATGTCAGGCTGTGGCTCCAAACACTAGCATGAACAACTGATTTTCTGGCAAGCTCACAATCCCCACTCAATCTCATGACCAACTTGGCGGTCCTCCCTAGTTTGGGAATCAACACTAAGCCTGCAAGAAAATGGCTTGTTTGTAGGTGTAAATCTGAGCACACCTGGTTCTAATCCTGAGCACATTAAGATTCAGAGATTAGAATGATAACTGTTACAGGTAATTTTCCATTCACTTACATACAGTAGATGCTTGTTGGCCTTTGTTTCTTGCAATGCATTGAACACTTTGATTACACCATGACGTGCATTTTGTTGTCCAACCAGGTTCAGCAGAGCATCTGAAACAAATGTTCCTTCAGCTTACTCTTAAATGTCAGTAAAACTCTGCCTGAACATTACTAAATGGCAAATACAGTAGCTATACCACGTGACATGATACATAGTTAATAATATGCACTGGGCCTTCATTCAAGAAAATATTTAAAATGCATGACTAACAGATACATCAGCAATCACTTAATGAGACTACTCATATGATTAAAGATAGGATGTGCATGATTAATCACTCAATCCTATAAAACTCATCAGGCTAGCGTGGCTTATGCCAGTTTCTGTAGCAAGCATATGTGGATGACATTCAAGTCTGGCCACTTCTGACTAGATACCCATTTACAGATGGGTCAAATGGGCATGCCCTTTAGTGCAAGTCCAGAGCAGGACTAAAACTTATATCTCCAAAGCTATAAAGAGATGCCTTAGACACACTGCCACCATGCCCCAAGTGGAGATGGATTCCTAAAAAAAAAAATTAAAATGGATTTACTGTCTGCCTTGTCTCTCAAAATTAAAACACTTCCATATTCCACAAACACACAGAAAAACAATGAATTTCTAAATGAATAATTTAGTTTAAATCAAATAGGAAAATAACTTTAATAAATGCCAATCTGACCATGAAATTCAACCTATTTGGTTTACCTTTATAAAAAAGGTGTGTTTTAAGACAATTTCTAGTTTTTATTGAATAATTATGCTAGACTTTAAATAAATCTAAAGCTATTATAATGTGCTTTATAATTTATATGCCAAGTATTTGCTATGCACATCTTGTGCTGTATGTTTGTCTGTTGAAAAATAATACAGATTAAACCCATTAAAAGAAAAAAAAAAAAACACTCAACAGCATGTATAACAAATCTTTGGGAAGCAACCAAATAGATCACTGAAGCCTACTCTATCTCAGAGATAGGGAGATTAGGAAACAGGGTATTCAAATCACATTTGGATAAAAATTGAAGTTTAAGGCTGACCATTAAAAGGTTTTCTGTAAAATTCCAGATTCAATGAAGGACTTAAGTCAGGGGTGGGCAATTATGGTTGGAGGGCCACTTAAGGAGTTTTGGTGAACTGTTGAGGGCCGGGGGGGTGGAAAGGGGGAGAAAAAAATGCCATTTGATCCTATCCAGCCCATGGGCTGCTGCCAGGAGCCTGAGGAAGGAGGGCTGAGACCTGCACTGTTCTGCCGCAGCCAGGGCCAGGCCAGAGAGCATGCAGACTCCTCCACCCTGCACCCCTTACCCACATCCATTACCCCCAGCTTCTGGTTGGTGCTGTGCAGTCCTGACACCATCGTTGCTGGCATCTGGGCCCGCGCAGGACACTTAGTAGTTGTCCTACCTACTGCAACGAGTTGCGGCCACTGCCACACTGAGAAGGTCAGGGCAGCTGCCCTGAGTCAAGCTCCCACTATGGCCAGCATGGACTAGTGATGCCAGTGGCTCATCACGGCAGGTGGGTGGGCAGGAAGGACAGCTACTTCGCACACTGCATCGCGTCATTCCATGCAGGCCCAGCTGCTGGGCCAGGTGGGGGTTGTGGAAATGGATGTGCGTGCAGGCACTGGAGGAGTCTGTGCACTGCATGGCCTGGTCCAGTCCCAGCTGTAGCAGAATGAAGTGGCACAGCCTTCCCTCCTCAGACTACTGGAGGTGGCCAGTGAGCTAGATAGGTTCAATTGGTGGGTTAGAATACAGTCTGTGGGCCATATTTCACCCGCCCCTGACTTAAGTGCAAGTTGGGGACTACACCTATTTTTGAAGATTATTACATTTGTCTATACCACAATTTTGTGCAGGGCTTCAAGATGATGGTAGGAGGAGCAATATAAAACCTCCCCAGAGAGTTGATTTAGTTTTATACAAACTCCATAGCATGCTTGTTTTACAAGCTCCAGTCAAAAGAATCATCAGCCATTTGTGCCTAGTACAAAAGTAGAAGAGTTCACCTGAAGCATATTGATTATTCTGAGTTATATATTTAAGTAAAGAATCCCATATTTTGGGTTTCTCAATAAAACAATATTAAGCTAAAATTATAGCGTGGGATTAATTTTAAATAACGTAATTACACACAAAAAATTATGTTAAAAGTATATTACAATTGCAAAGCCAAGCTCTCAGAATTTAGGAAATGCCAGCAATAAAATTACCTGTTCCCAAACTGTTAAAGTTTGGCAAAGTTATAAGCAACTAACAGCAGAGTCTCTTAATGGGAAGTGTCCAGGAACTTTAAAAATCTGCAGGGCTGTAAACTGTGCCCATAATAAGGATTTAACCCCTACACAGACATATTGAAAACGTTAAGAATATTCCAGAACAGGTGTTTCCTAATGACCCCTGGAAATCAGAGTACTGGTTTTTCCGATAGCCAAATGACACCTGTGCGCCTCAAATGGACTGAGTAGCACAGTGTTGAAATGGAGGATTTGGGCAGGCTCCAAACCTTTAGAAACACATTTGGCATTTTGAACAACAAGGATACTTGACATTGATAGAATTTCTCCAACTATATCAACCTCTGAGGAGCACCATGCTTGGAATCATGTGCCAAGCCATTTTGACTCAGGGCAATTAACAGCAGTTGAAACAAAACCAGGATCATATGGCTAAACTAAAGTGCTGAGACCAAGTCTCCATTAGGGAGCTAGCGGAAGCTGCAGGGTGTTCAGCGCTTCTGAAAATCAGATCACTTATTTTGATGACTCAGTATGGAATCCTTAGTTTAACTTCAGATATTCAAGTTTGAAGGTGATGACTTACAGTGTTTCTCCTTTCGCTGAATGAAGACAAATCTGTACGAAAAGGCGAGTGTATTAACCTGCCAAGGAAGAGCCTATTCAATGGTTAAAATACGGGTATGAGTGTTAGGATACTTCAGTTACTCTTGTTCTCAATCTCTAAACTGCAGTATTCTACCATGGAAAGGTGATCAAAAACACTAGGGCAAAAGGAAGAAGTCCACACAGGTGCACAGGCAATTGTGTGTGCAACCCAGTATCAGGACATGATTAGAGTTTTTAAATTTTAATTTTTTTAATCCTTATTATTTTTCCTACCTTATTCTAAAATGCTTACTTACTTACTTACAAAGGTCACATGTCTCAATAGGGAATGGTGGGAACAGTCACTAAGTTTTTACTGGATATTGTGACCCAAGGGAAAACTTTAAGCTAGCCCCAATATTATTTGAAGCTCAAGAAGGCTGGTCCTATGGGTAGAAGGCAATCAGATGAAGTTCAACAGGAATAAGTGCCAGGTCCTTCATCTGGATAGGAAGAACCTTCACCATAACTATACGAAGCGTAGTAGCCCACTGGCTGGTACTGCACCTGAAAGGGACCTTGGGGTGAAAAGGATGAATACGAGTCAGTGTGATGAAATTGCAAACCGGGCAAACAGAACTCTGGTGTCCATCAGCCGATGTGTTGCCAGCAGATCCAGAGAGGTGCTCCCCCCACTCTATTCGGCACTGGGGAGGCCACAACTGGGGTACTGTGTCCAGTTCTGGGCACTGCACTTCAAGAAGGATGTGGATAAGCTTGAAAGGCTATGGAGAAAGGCCACCCGCATGATCAAGCGCCTGAGGGATAGGCCCTATGAAGAGAGACTCCAGGAACTGGGTCTGTTCAGTGTGAGTGAGAGAAGACTGAGAGGCTACTTGATAGCTGCCTACAAGTATGTCAGGAGTAAACACCAAGTTCTAGGGGAGCAGCTCTTCAGAAAGGCACCCCTCAGGAGGATGCGGTCCAACGGGCACAAGCTAGTTGAGGAAAAATTTAGGCTAGACACAAGGAAAAACTTCTTTTCCGTAAGAGTAACTAGAATCTGGAACACACTCCCAGCAGAGGTGGTACAGCCACCATCCCTGGAGGTGTTCAAGAGGAGGTTGGACAAGCACCTCATGCAGTTCATTTGAGCCCAATCACCTCCTGCCCATGGCAGGCGACTGGACTCTATGAACTTACAGGTCGCTTCTGGTCCTTCTATTCTATGATTCTAAGAAAAAACCCAGCCAGGTCCCACTGATTTTGCTTCTGTTAGACCAGGGCACAGAAGTCCCCTCAGCACAGAGCAGTGCTGCATGACACCATCCGGAGACACAAGGGAGGAAGGGTGGTACCACAGTTGTAACAGGTTGCAACCTTAGAAGGCAGGCAAAACCAGAAAAAACTGAGCTGCACCTTTATTTTTCATGTATCTGACTGTGATATTCTTACCTGGAATGTTTTCAAGTAGTTTTTGCTGTGCTCTCAGTTTGGTCTCCTGGCTTTGCTCGTCGCTTCTGGATCTTGTTGGAGGTGCCAGTTTTCCATTTGGCCAGAAAGCATCTCGGAACACACCGATGTAGTAAACAAGCATTGGCTCGCTGAAAATCCAATTTACTGTGTCACGTATTTGTCTTCAAAAAGAAACGTAAAAAGAGAAGAGGTCATACCTTGGCATTTCAACTCTTAGGCAGCACAAGCCTTTTCACCCTGGATTGTCTCTTGAGATGGAAGCAATGACCCTCCATCTGTATGACAGCATACACCTGTACCAGTTTATTAAACTAGGGTTTCAGATGATTTGACCAGGATCCAAACAAACAAGCTATGTGCACTCTAACCAGAAATAGGGCTTAAATTGCTTCAGTGTGTAACTGCGATACTGGGAGTGGCAAAAATTTGACTTCCAACAAAAGGTAAGGAATATGCACATTAAAAGCAGTAGCAGCACAAAGGCTTAGTTAGGAAAAGGAGGAGAGTGAAGTGCTATATTGCAACCAGATACCATGGGCTTACGGAAAATACAGTAGCGCACAGGCAGTTCAGCAAGCTCTGCTGTGTCGGGGATAACTGTTGGGTATAGGTGATGAAAAGGCTTGCTGCTCAAACAGGGAAGAATTTGCTGAGAAAGTGGAAGCTAACTTGGGTGACAGTAACTACAAATGATAGAGTTCAAGCTCCTAACAGAAGGAAGGTGAAATCGTCATCTGTGATTTGTAATTTTACAGCTAAAGCAACAGAAAGATTCTCCAAAAGCCTTGTACATGGTCAGGGAGGATTTCTCCAGTGTAGCAAATATGGAAAGTCATTTTCCAAAGACCACCTGGAAAGTCCTGGCCCAGGAAGTAAACCAGAGACAGAACGAGCACACCAAACTGAGGAGATTCCAGGCACAGCTGTGGTTCATAGGGCAATTCAGGAAAACTGCTGTAACTAAGAGAGGCTCCCAATACTGATCTCAATAATGACAGGGACCATGAACAGCCCAGAACTAAATGGGTCCTTTAGCTCCTTCTGCCCCAGGCAGCACTTTCGAGGGACACAACATGGAAACTTATCCTTCTTGTATTCCTCCTTGGGGGCAGGGAAGGAGGAAGAGGAAGAAACACGGAAATGGTGCTGGCTGACCACAGGCATAAAGTCAGTAGAGGAGACAGAAGTAACAGATTTTGCCAAGTCAGAAGTGTTTGAATTATGATTCATGGTGTACATGCTGATGTTATGTCAGGAGTTAGCTGGCAATCTGGTGCTGACTCTCCCTCTTGTTACCCATTTCTAAAATTCAGGTCACCTGAAGAAGAATACCCTGCATTCAAAAGCTTGTTTAAAATTATCCCAAGCAATTGGTCCAATAAAAGATATCACCCAGAAAAATCCCTGCCTCTCACATATTTCCTGAACTAATATAGCTACATTGCTCCACCACCGCCATGATTTTACACCAAAATTCTTCTCTGACAGTCGCACTCTTACAACAGGCATTTGCCCCTGGCAGAAGACCTCCATTACTCAATACCTTTTGACCAAGGACAATTTTTTCAAAATATTGTTCATGACAAGATTTCTTGGATTTTATCCAGCTCTCAATACACCACACAGGCCTCTTTCCCTGTGAAATAAGCCTGACATTAGGACTGTGTTATAACTTATACATGCAGAAGGGATAACTGACTGAATTTCTGTGCTTGCTTCTCCCCCGATTAACATCCGAATAAAATGAAACTGCAGAAAGATAACAATGGCTAGGTCACAACTACGTAAAGGGATTGCTAGTAACCCTTTTGTTATAACTTATTTATTCATGGAGCATTGATTCTAGGATCAGAACTAAAGCAATAGCTACTTACTTGTTGATAGTTCTTCCAAAAGTGACTTGTACTAGTGCAATTAATGTCTTTCTGACCCACTTGAACACTAGAACAATGAAAGAAAAGAAAATAAAGGCTAAACATTCAGCAACTTGATCAGTCTGACAGTCATTACTCAAGAACACACTATAAAATATGTTGATCTAGGATTAGCTGTATTCATTTTATACCTTTAAAATTTTACATATACCATCCTCTTGTTTCTTTTGATTTTTTTTTATCCTACCTTTCCTGCTATGCTCTCATTTCTGGGATACATTAGTAGTTCCTTCACATTTCTAAAAGACTAAAGGGGTGTGGGTTGTAGCCATGTTGGTTTAAGGACAGAGGCAGACAAGGTTCTTTGGGTAAATCTGATATCTTTTATTAGACCACCTCAAATAGTTGGAAAAATTCTTCTTAGCAAACCCGAAAGCCAAGAGGATTTTTTCCAATCACTAAGAATTGCTAAGGAGAATTTTTTCAGCTATTTGAGTTGGTTTAATAAAAGATATGAGATTTACCCAAAGAACCACATCTGCCTAAAAAACTAAAGGTCATTGCACAATCAGCAGGTTTCCAAGAAATAATATTCACATTTGGCATGGGATACCTGTTCTCACGTTAGACGCTTCTAATAGTGACATTTTCACTTAAATTCAAGTTTTGTCCTAAGCCCTGTATTAAGAGCTGTTGTGGTCATTCATATTTGGCAGTTATTTAAACTTGTACAGCTGGTTGCCCAAAGCTAATGAAATCAGGAGTTATTTTGTGGGATTAATTCTACAGTCACTTTTATAAAAGTTAAAATGAATTTCAGAAGGCATGAGCACACGAACAATAACAGCATGTCTGTTATTCTGTGGTAACTATTGGCTCTTGCCCAGCAGTACATACAAGCTGCTAGCCTTATGCATTTTTGTCCCTTTTCGTTGTTTGTGTGCCCATATCCTAACATGGTGGTCTGGAAAAGCACCAACTACTTGTCCCGCAGGAGATGCGTGCCCTTGCATGTGCATGCCTGTTGGAACGTTCCCCTTAGAGCTAAGTTTAGGAGTTTCTTGTGTTCAAAAGCTACACTGGCCAGGGAATAGGAGAGAAACATCACCCTGTTCAAGTTTGCTGATGACACTAAGATGTGGGGGGAAGTAGGCACAATTGAGGGGAGCAACAGGCTACAGTTAGACCTAGATAGGTTACAAGGATGGGCGGAGGAGAACAGGATGGGGTTTAACACGGACAAGTGTAAGGTGATGCACCTGGGGAGGAACAATCGGCACCATACATACAGGCTGGGGAACTCCCCTCTTGTCAGCACGGAGGTGGAAAAGGATCTGGGAGTCATTATTGACTCCAAGATGAACATGAGTCAGCAATGTGGGGAGGCGGCTAGGAAGGCCAACTGCACCTTGTCGTGCATCCACAGATGCATCTCGAGCAGGTCCAAGGAGGTGATCCTCCCCCTCTATGCGGCACTGGTCAGGCCGCAGCTGGAGTACTGCGTCCAGTTCTGGGCGCCGCACTTCAAGAGGGATGTGGACAGCATCGAGAGGGTCCAGAGGAGGGCCACTCGTATGATCAAGGGACAGCAGGGTAGGTCCTATGAGGAAAGGTTGCGGGACCTGAACCTGTTCAGCCTTCAAAAGAGAAGGCTGAGGGGGGATCTTGTGGCCTGTTATAAACTGGTTAGGGGGGATCAGCAGGTGCTGGGGGAGTCCCTGTTCCCCCGAGCGCCGCAAGGAGTGACCAGGAACAATGGTCACAAGCTGACGGAGGGAAGGTTTAAGTTGGACATCAGGATGCGCTACTTCACGGTTAGGGCGGCTAGAGTCTGGAACCAGCTTCCAAGTGAGGTGGTGCAGGCTCCCACCCTGGGGGTTTTTAAGAGGAGGTTGGATGACCACTTTACTGGGGTCATTTGACCCCAGTGCTCTTCCTGCCATGGCAGGGGGTCGGACTAGATGATCTGCTCAGGTCCCTTCCGACCCTTGAAACTATGAAATTCAATCCAGATGGTCCGCCTTTTGTCCAAGGCATGAAAATGGAAAGGTTCAGTAATTGCTTTTAACTACCATATTTATTTGTTTAAGATGAAGATTTCTCCCCCCACTGCCATTTAACATAGGTGGAAAAGGGCCCTCATCTTAGAATTGTGTATGAGGGTACGGGGGGCAGGTGCCTGCTCTTGGAATACAGCCCCTACCCAGAGTCTGGTCATAGATGCAGCTAATGCCTGTCCTGGCCAACTCCTGCTGCCTCTGTATCCTGCCATCTCCCTCCTGCAGCCTCTTCCACCCATCTCCCTCTCCTCCGCGCAACCTCTGCTCCCCCACCTCCTCACCCTTGCTCTGTGATGGCAGGTTCCATGCAAGCTGCAGCCTGGGGCACTAAGCACACCCCCAGCCTGACCTATAGCAGTGGCACGCAGCCTGCATGGCTTCTATGGGGGCTGGGCTGGGGCTGCACTCTGTGTCCCAGGCTAGAATAGGGATGGAACCGGCAGTGTGGAGCAGAGGCTGGGCAGGGGAGCAAGGAAGCAGGCAGGCTGGGGGCAGAGGGCAAGCTGCTTGACCTCTCCACACCACCAGCCTCTGCCCTAGGGGTGGGAGAGATGAATTAAAGATGACCCTCCTCCAATAATTAGATTCTATACATGGAACATTATGACATTTATAAATATTCCATGTATAGAATCTAATTATTGGGAGCCACCTCAAATTCAGGGTAGTCCTAGATTTGAGTAAATATGGTACTTGCATCACATTTCTCAACCCTGCCACTTTTTCCTCAAGGGACTGCTAGTGAAAGTTCATAAATACAGATATAATGCAAGGATCACCAAAATATTATTGGTAACAAGCTACATAAAAAAGCCAAGGACATGTTTGAAAATAACAAAAAGAAAACATGTTAAATTGGAATCCCTATTTCCAGTTTTCTATGTATTGTAACAGAATGTGTCATACTAAAACAAAAAACAGGAGGAAAAGAGAGTAAGTATTCTGGAACAATATGATGCTTAGTGAATGTCTATGTGGCCAGCATCAAAACCACTGTGTCTTAATGACAAATTTTATTTTATTTTTTTTTTGACAGAAAGATATCATCTGATTTTCCAATGCATTTTCTCTCCACAACTTACAGCTACCTCAGGACTTTTGCCAAAGGTATATAAACAATTCTTTTTAAGCTATTTTCCGTTTTTTATCTCTTCATTTATAGGCAATTATCTAAATGGTTAATTTTTGCTTCATATTGGAGAAGCATTTTTTCCCTTTAAGAAAATGTAAAAGGCTTACATTTCTAAGTCCAGTACTATAACCTAAGTCTTCCTTGTTCTCCAAAACCAGAGAACATGACTTACGGCATTCTGCTATTCCGGACACATTTGCAAACAAGAAAAAAAAGGCAGTTTCTCAGTTTAGAATGGGATGAAAGATCTTGGTACCAAATAGGATAATAATTTTATCTTTATATTGCCTTGTATATCATGTACTTCTGCTATTTATAATAGGCCTCAAAGCCATGTTGTTCTGACACTGGTATGTTCACTGATAACACATTTACATGTCTTTTCCTTATAATTTATTCAATTGAAAAATGCAGCACATAAACAAAAGCTCATACTGATCCTATCTGCTTTTTGGAAACAGAAAGTAAAGTTATACATATTGAATTAAAAAACCCCAACCTGTTGCACTGTTACTGTGATTTAAATTTTAACCTCACAGCCATAAATTTCAGATTTATAAATGACAGCAAAAATATTTACAATTTTCATAGAAATCAGTATTTTATATAGCAAAAAGGTCTCCCTTCACTGGAGTAGTATAAAAGCAAGCAGTTTGATAATTTCTTAGCCTTCTTGTCTAATAAAGTCCACTAGGAAACAAGCAGGTTCAAAACTTACTTCCTCGCAGCTCAAAAATCTCTCCAATCAGCATGAAGCATGGCTCAGCAAGAGCATCTCGTTTCCCATCCACCTCGTCTCCATAGTCAGACAGGTCACTATCCTCTTCTATTTCCTCCTAGAGACACAAGACAAGCACAGAATGAAAGAAAGTTGCTACCAGCATTAATTTTAGTGCTCCTTTCTCTACCACTTCATGCTTCTTGCCTCATTCTACAACATTTATTCCATGGTGCTTTTTTTCTTTTTTAAATACTTTGCTACCTTGCTTATGAACTGGAGGCACCTTTCATCCCCAGTGGTGCAAAATACTAGTAATTCTCTTTTCCCCCCAACCCTCATTTGAGTTTTGTCTTAACAGCTAAGAAATGGGCTATAAAATTTACAGCAGCCTTCCCAAGGATGGTGCATGTGAACTGTAGAGACCTGAAATAGCTACACTATGTAATCTTAAAAACAGTAAGCAAGAGAGAATATTACTGTATTTACTCAAATACAAGACAAGATTTTCCTTCAAACTGGCATGAGGGGAAAAGCCCCTCCTCTTATAATCATATACAAGGAAATCTCACTAAATACACTGGTTGTCATTAAACTGATGCACATGCTCAGCAATAGAAACCAGCCATAAAGTCAACTAACGCAACCAACACTGAGCATGACTACAAAAACACATGGCCCACATTAGCCAAACATGCTGAATCTGTGTGGGGCCCTTAAAAAAAAAAAATACACACACAAAAAAACCCCCCAACAAACAAGTATTCCCTCAGCAGGGATTTGGCACCAGACCTGCAGACCTGGAGGTACAGCAATATGAGGAAAAGGGACATGAAGCCAAGGGGTGTGGGAAGGAACGGAAGTGTAATGTGTTGGAAGGAGGGGAACATCTTTAAACAGTGTCCCGGAGCCTAAGCTAAGGTTGGGAAAGGGGAAAACAAGAGAAAAACCCCAGAAAGTGAGTCTCCCTCAACTGAGGCCAAGGCGGCAGAAAGTACTCCCCCAAACACAATTAAGGAGGCAGAAACAGAGGAAGGGGGCAGAAAACCGCCCAGCAAGGGAGGAGGCAGGAGGGAAACCTCTCTCCAAAAAAGAGAAAGAAACCCGTGCTCAGGAAAAAGTGATAGCCTTGAGAAGGATGGTGAAGCAACTCAGAAAACAGGAAAGGGAGGATGAACTGGCTGTAAAAATGGAAAGGACAGAAAAGGAGGTGAAAGGGAAGGCCAAAACTCCCAAGGGTGCAATCTGGAAAGAGCCCCAGAAGAGGAGGAAAATGAAGGCTCAGACATGGAGGTCCCGGCAGAAAGGGGGAGATCCTGGAGTCCCCAGAGGAAAACCAGAGTCCCTAAAGGAAAACCAGAATCCCTGGGTAACCTCCCCCACCCCTACTATAAGAAGAGAAGTCCTCCTGAATACAGACCGGACAGCAGCAGGAGCCACGATCGTGGAAAGGGGCCCACAAGCAGATGGAACAGATGGATCAGAAGGGAAAGAGCCCAAAAACCCCTAAGCTTAAACAAGGCTGAGATGCTGATGGGAACTTACCATAAGGATAGATTAGTGAAACCCATTTAAGTAAGATATATGGTAGTGCCCTTTAAGTGCAGTCCTCCTCACTACTGACTGTTTTTAAAGTCATGGTTAACCACTACACTGCATACAGTTTGACTTCCATTTTATTCCCACAGCTGAGCAGTGCCTTTCTTTCCCATTTTCAATGATTCCTGTTTCTTCACCAGCCTTAAATATCTAGCAAACATCATAAATCAGCAGCCCCAAACAGGTCATCCAAAATCCCTCTGTTGCCCCGCCACCTTCAGCCTGGTGCATATTAGTGTGGCTCCACCCTCCACAGGATAAAGCCAGAGCAGGTTGGCCTGCACCTCATCTGCATATACATTTTTGAAGTATCCAGGACTCATGGCACGAGCACCCCATTCCACTTATGAGTGGGGGCTAACTAGCACATGCATCCTTTGGAGGGGGGTATCTGAAGTACACACACATACTGAGCAGTGCTGAGCTGTGAGGTCACCATGGCTTTAAATGCTGTTGACTACAATGGGGCCTAGCCCAATGAACTATGTGATACATCACAAGCCATTGGGCTTTGAACAAATATCATGTATAGTTTGTACTGCTTATAAATAGGTGCCAGACATGCTGCTCATAAAGTGTGTTTATGGAATGCCTGTCCTAAAACTTGCAGCAGTTAAAAAAAAGGTAAGATGTATCCGTTCTAGATAAACTATGTTTATGGGTACTATATGCAAATTGCTACAGCCATGTTTAATTTGAAGGTTTTTGTTTTCCAACTTATTTCTTATTTACATGTGCTCAGAGAAAGCAGGGCCTGAGATTAAGGAGAGGGAGAAGGGGCTGCCAGGGGGAAAAAAAGTTTGGGGGGAAGCCAAGAGCAAAGGGACTACCTGATCCCCAAATTTATTTTCCCTGCTGTAGCAGTGGAAGAGGGACAAATCAAATGCAAATCTCCAATAATTAGATTTTATACCTGAAAAATTATAACAAATTTATACATTTATGCGGTATGAGCGATGACCAAGAAAAAAGTCACAACATAGAAGCATATTCCTCTAGAAATTGTAAAGATGAGAAAAAAATAGAATATGTAGTAAATGCTCATACTGTACAAAATAAAGGAGCACCTGAGATCAAGAACTTGAAATGAGCTTGGGTTGTGCACCTTTTTAGTTAAAATAAGAAACAAACCCCATATTTGTAGCCCGGGGCTTCCAAGTGAAGGTCTATTTTTTATTTCAGTACAATAAACAGCAGAAGAGACATTTCTATTTTATCAATGCAACTGCAGTTAAATTTGCAGTGAGACAAGAATTTTCCAGAAGACAAAACAGTTTCTGATCTGCTATCTTTGACATGAAATATTTGTATTAATTTAGTATCTAGTTACAAGTATGATTTAGTTTATACTTTTAAAAGTAGAAATATGGAGAATTAGGTAATGCCTGATAAGTTGAAAAAAGACCTCCTTGTGTAAATAAAACAGTTATGACAGTTGCCTACTACTATACTTTGCAGCACTACATTTCCCAGGAGTGCATTTATATCCAAAAACTGTCTACAATACACAACAGAACTGCAGTGTTCAAAAGTGATAGCCTGAAGTGACATGCCTCATAAAGGGAAAAGTTAGAAGAGGATGGAAAGGGTTTCTTGCAGCTGGTGTATCTAGAACATTTAATGAACAAAACAGAAAATCAAAACTGCTTGGCATGATGACATCATGTGTACTGTAATTCCAATTAATGGGCTATTCTTTGTTTCATTCTGAAAGATACAGACTTTTTATGGCTCAGTACAAGATGTGACAGCCAAGTCAAAAAGATGGGCTCCCAAGTTCAAGACTTCCCAAGTTCTCTTCCTGGCCCTACTGAAGTTCTTTGTCAAAGGCAGTTTCGCATCAGGAATTTATCAGTAGTTGTCAAGAAGACATGCTAGATCAGGGGTTGGCAATCTACAGCTTGCGAGGTAGATCCAGCCCTCAGAGCCATTGTATCTGGCCCTACAGAGCTGAAAGGCTTAAGCAGTGCTGTGATTGGCAGCAGGGATAAGTGGCTATGGCAGCACTGAAGAGATGGCAGCGAATGAAGCTGTGGCAACATAGACTGGGTTGGCAAAAGTCCACACTCAGAACTAAGTTCTGTTAAAGCACCCATTCTGCTCCAAAACGCTGCTGCCTCCTTTTCTAGATAGTGGGAAGGACCAGCAGAATTTCTGCAGGCTTACTGTCATCATCTAGGGCTCAAGCCTCTCACTGAAGTGTCCTACTGGGAGCTGGCTTGCACCTTAGAGAACAGAAATGGTCCTTTCTCTTCCTAAATTTCCCCCATGATAGATAAAATCATAAGATACTCGAAACTTAAATGGACCTAGTCATTGGGATATCTCCACGACATCTATCATGTGCACAACAGCTTTGATGTCTTTGTGAAATTTAATATCAGAGGGACTCTTGGAAATCTCAGATTCTTCTGAATGAAGCAAACTCTACACATCTCTGAAGAAACATGATCCTACTTTTTTGCAACTTTCCTTTGCCTTGAATAACACTTTGAACTTATTAGGACAGTGATTGAGAAGGTTATCAAAAAGCTGAAGGTCTTCCTCAGCACTTTAGTTCTGCAAGGACTACCTTCAGGCAGCACTACCTTCATTCACTTTTGAAGGAACTGGCTTAGTTTCTTCATCCCCTTTCATCTCCATGGAGATTTCATTCTGGATTGAGAAGTACTCTAGATGCACTTTAGAAGCACAGAGAAGGATATGGCACTGGCGTCTCAGGACCTCTCCAAGTTAAAGAACCCTCTTTCAGAGCCATACAGGGCCTCAGACAGAAGAACTAATATAATTTTTTGCATGAAGGCAAGATGTGAGAAGCCCATTAAACAGAAGTGGTGATCTGCATCCTTTGCCTGTTGCAGAGGCAATTATTTGAGAACACCCTTCACATTTTCTCATATTAAGAGGTAGGGGATATGTATGGGACAAGTTAAAAGAGCACAAGGCAGGCGACAGCCACTGTAGATCCACCAACCAGTGCACCTTTGCAGTTCAGACTTGAGAAATGAGGGTTACTGCAGTCCCGGAAGTGGGAGCAGAACAATTTTACAAAAAGGATGCTACATCTCTGAATTTTATTTGCTTGATCTTGGGTCTGAATATCCTTTATTTCAGAGGTATACTGCATCCTATTAGTTTGGGAAGACTATATGGGGGACAGAAGAAGGAAACTACAGGTGGTGAAATTGAACAGTATATCAGGGAACCATGAGAGTCAAAAGAATGACGGCCAGTTATGAAGGAGGAAAACAGGAAAATGGCTGATATATAGATTTGCAGAGATGTTTCACTTCATCAAAAATCATCTCTATTAAATAAAATGATGAAATCTTGCACTGAACTGGCCCTGCAGCATCTGAAACGGTTTAAGTGATTTTCTTCCTCCTGATGGAATTCACTGCTGTCTATAAGTCCTGTATGAAGAGTAATTGATTTTGCCTTTCAAATGCAGATGACAACAAAGCAGCCCCTAATAAAATAAGGCTTCCATGTCTGAAGCCTCGCTAGCAAGAAAAGGTCTCAGACTGATGCGATTTCATTAAACTTGAAATATGCAATTTATACGACTGTCTATATTATAGGATTTGCCCACAAGTACAAAAACATGTGTATTTGTAAATTACTTCAAATTTAGTAGAGCATTCTCATCTCTTATCCCTGGTTCACTTAGAGCAAATTAAGCAACGTCTTCCAATATTAACCGTCAATCAAGTAGACTATATTAATGACATGTCCTGCTTATTCTGGACAGATTATTAAATTTAGGAAGATTACTTTTCTACCACTCACCTCTTGATGAGAAAATAAATCACCAGGAAATCTCTCAAGAAATGATGAGAGTGAAAAGGAAGATTTCTTTCCCTGCACATCAATAACCTTGAGGTGCTCGGGGGAAGGACTCAAAAAGGCATAAAGTGCTTCACTCTGACATAATCGTTCATCGGAAAGAAGTTTCTGTGGAAGAAAAATATTCAAAACATAGCAATTAAACATGATTTAAGCAATAAGGTGAGTCAGCCTGTCCAGAATAAGTGATGAATACACTACTGAGATGCATAGTGAAAAAAAAAGCTAATACTTTGCATCAATGCTAACACATCTTACTGAAATTGTAATTTTTCCAAATTAATAGCATTTTTAAATGTTAAAATTCTCTTTTCAAAATAGATAGTGTCCTTACACTAGGTAGATTAGTTTGTAGATAATTTATTTTAAAAAGTTTTTAATTAAAATGTAAAACTGAGATGACATTGCAGGGCTCTAAATTCATTCTCTCAATCATTGACAGACTACACTAACTTGCCACTAGATGGATGTTTTCTAAAAACCTATATGCCAGAAGTTCAAATTTGAGATGTCACAGTTAAAATGATTTTTCCCCAGCTTGTACATCCCCACAAATAAAGAAAGAAAAGCCCAGAGACAGAACTTCCCCCGCTTACACCAGTAGCAGACTTACCTTTGCAACTGATTTACTATTGAGTTAGGCCAACAGACAGGTGAGGAGAACTAGGTTCTTGATTGACAATTCTGGTAACAAAGCATGACCTAGAATAGAATCCAGCTCACTCTTGCACTGCTTTCTGGGCTCCTACACACAGCACATGCTGATTGAGTAAGAAGGACCTATTTTTACACGATCACTGTTCTGAGCATAATCACAATTAAAGTAAAATTCTGACAAATAGCTTATTTTTGGAGAGCTTTGTATGTCCCTTGACCTTCTTAGACTCTTACCAACAAGTCATCGCCTTAGCAAGCACTACTGTAATTCCCCACCTGCTAAACTCTTGCCTGCAGCCAGGCTGCCATATCCATTTTATTTTCCAGTAAAAAAATTAATTTGGAGATGCCCGACTGCCTTGTTTTTCTACCTAATTAAATCAGTCTGCAGGGAAACCTGTAAAGAACTAGCTCCTTGCATGGGATGCAAGTATGAGAAGAGGGAATTTGCAGCAGGAATGAGAAGCAGAGGAGCAGAATAGGCTAAGAGAGGAAATGTTTTTGTAAAGCAGAAAAGAGTAGTGTGCACCAAAAGTCTACAAGGGTGGAAGACAGGGCATTTGGACACAAGCAATAGAGAGTGATGGGTAGCTAAACTATTCCAGCACAGAAGATACAGAAAGGGTAAGAAGGAAAAGACAGAAGTTTAGTATTAAAAACTCAAGTATTTATAAGGGCAGTGACAACATCTAAAGAAAATGCAGTAAGATTTGCAATTACAGTCATATTTCAAAACACCCCTGCTACTTTTTAAAGATGCCTTTGGACAGAACAATGAAATGGCAAACACTGAAGGTCTGAAATCTGATCATCATTTCAAAAAAAGGAAGAGAGAGAGTTTGCATTAAATTTTAATAGTGCTCAGCTCCAGTTCAGCAATATTCTACTTTTCAAAAATTATAAACATGCAATTATTTTACCTCTGGAGGGAAATAAACCTTTCCGCTTTACAACAACAACTGACTGTATTAAAAACCTACTGGAAAACCAAACAAAAGCTAGGATTGTTACTCTAAGGTCCAAGAACATATTTTTCATGCAAATGAAGTTACTGATGTAATTGTTCTGACTCACAAGTGGCCTTCTAGTCAAACTCTGAATTCTACCACAGCATTTTTAGTCATTAAATAGCATACTTTTAAACAAAACCAGTGTTAGACATAGATGGGCCCTGAGGACTTGTGATTAACCTCTGCATGGAGTAACATCTTTTGTTTGCTGCTACCTGAGGAGAAATACAATTTCACCTTGTGAAATAAAATTACAGCCACTTCTAAAAGCTTTGTTACCTAAAAGTATCTTTTATTTAATTTACTTAATTTGTAACAGTGGAAATGCTTATTGTAGGCTAACACAGGGGCGGGCATTATTTGGCTGAAGGGCCGCTTAACGAGGTTTGGTGAGCTGTCAGGGCCGCATGGGTAGCCCCGCCCTTGACAGCTGCCGTGCCCCTAGTTGCCATCTTGGGACTGAAAGTCCCACCACCTAACCCTGACCTTTGCCACTGGAAGCCCCTCCCTTTACCCTGCAGAAATACTCCGGGGGGGGGGAGGGTACACCATCTTAGAACCAGAAAAAAACAAATCAGACACAAACTCAAACACCTACTATAACACTTCAATTTTTACTGCAAAACGTATTTTTGTCATGATTTGTGCTTGCGTAGTGTATATAGAGGTGACTGCATAACTAAAAAATAAATTCTTAGTTTTGTTTACCGTGGAGAGGGGTGTATGGTGGGGTGTGTATGGTAGGATGTGAGGGGGTGTGGTTGTGTGTGGGGGTACATAGGGTATGTTGGGGGTTTGTGTATATGTGGGGAGTTGTGAGGGCAGGGTGTTGGGTGCAAGGGAGAGTGGGGGATGTGGGGACCTGCCCATATACCCCCCATGGCATGGCGCAGCAGCAGGCAGGGCGCTCAGGGCTCAGGTGCCCGGCGGGGCACAGCTCTGGCCAGTGCTGCACATCTCAAGGAGGGGCACAACCTCCACTGGGCTGTCAGTATCGCTGGTGTTTCATACCAACTGCGCATAGCCCTTGCACTCGCACAGCACGGGAGGAAAGCCCCACATGCTGAAGCCAGCTGCCTTCCCTGCCAGGGCTGTGCAGCATCAGAGAGAAGCCTCAGGCACTGGAGCCAGCTGCTTTCCCCACTGAGGCTGCACTGCAGGGGAAGTTAGCCCCAGGCACCTTCCCCTGTGGGGCTCAGAAGCCAGCCAGCTCCAGCACCTGAGACTTCTCTCCAGTGCTGAACAGCACTGGCAGGGAAGACAGCCGGATCCAGCATGTGGGGCTTCCCTCCCGTGCTGTGCGACCGCAGGGGCTGCATGCGAGTGGCAGGGAGTGCCAGCGATACAGGTGGCCTAGCAGTGGTTGTGACTCTCACTGCAATGTGCAGCGCTGGCCGGAGCCACACCCCACCAGGCACCTGTGACCTGAGCACCCCACCTGCTGCTGCTGCTACCACCACTTGCTGGGGCTGCGCAGCATGGGGGAGGAGTGTGGGGGCAGTGTTGGGAGGTACCCACACCTCCCACCTTCCCTCACACCCACATGCTGCCCAACTGAGCTCTGCACTGCCACCAGCTCCAGCCCCAACCCCGCACTCGGCACTCCCACCCAGCTGCAGCCGTGCCCCTGCCACTTCCCTGCCTGCTGCCCAGAGCCAGCAGGAGACTGGGAAAGCGGAGTGGGTCCCTGGGGCTGCAGCAGTGTCAGAGACAGCATCAGCAGCGGCAGCAACAACCCCACATGGAAGCTGCATGCTGGCCAGCCGGTACCTTCTGCCCATGAGGGTGGGACCAAAGCAATCAGGTACTTTGGGGCTGCGTGTACAAGTGGGCACCTCACTCCCATCCTTGTGGGTGGAAGGGCTGGGCAGGGCACAATTTGCTGGTGGGCACCGTGAGCTGGATGAAAGTGCCTGGCAGGCCAAATCTGGCCTGTGGGCCATATTTTGCCCAGCCCTGCCCTAACTTCATTAGTCATATGATCAATGCAACTAATTTTAAATGTCAGAAGTAAAATATATCAGTTACACAGAATTCAGCCACATCATGCAGCTGGCCAGCTACCCCTTCACTATCCAGGAAGCACACCCCAACCTCTCTGGAAACCTTCTCAAACAGGGGCCTTTTGACATATTTGGGCTATTTTGGACAAAGCAAGGAACAAGTTCTACAATCCTCACAGTGAAAATGCCTTGCCAGACCTCTTCTCTTTCCCAATGGCAGAAAAAGGATCCCAATTTGAGTCTTCCTGTTGACTTCAGCAGTGGCAATATGGTACATGAAGAGAGTCAGGCAGCACTGGTCCAAAGTCACTTCGGGCTTTTTTCTACCCAGGACCTCTTGAGCATATACTGACATTTCATAGAAGCAGGATGTTAGTTGCTATGGTTTTCCTGCTTTACCTGTGGCAGATTAGGGTGTTAAATCTGTGTTATGTCAGGGTTGATGGCAGTTGTATGTAGAGTTTAGATTATGGATTGTATAAAATGGTTTGGATAGGGATGATCCTACCTCAGGAAGGGAGTTAGACTAGATGACCTCTGGAGATCCCTTCCAGCCCTATTTCTCTATCATTTTAGATTTATAGGTCATAAACCAGCACTTTAAACCTCACACAGAGAGGAGCAGGCAGCCAGCACAGTTCCAATCGCACAGGTGTCATGTGCTCCCAGCAAAAAATGCTAATTAATATGTGAACTGCTGTACCCTATCCCAACTTCAGCTTATGCATGGTTTTAAGGTATGGAAACATATAGGACACACTGCAATAATCTAACTCTGGAGTGGCAAAAGTGTGGATAAAAGTAACTAGATCACCATTGCTTAATCTGATGAAGATGGCTAAATGCTGTCTGGGTCAGCTGAGGTATGAGATATGATCAACTAACAGCAGCTGTGGTCCAAAAAACACTGATATGTTTTGACTCCTTGTAACTAATGACAGATCTACCTCCTTAACAATTCTGATGCATCCTTCACCATTTTCTCAGACTGCTTTCCTATCATCTCCTCTGCTTTCTCAGTGTTGAGTTCCTAGCCCACTCTTCTCCATGCCTAGCTTAGACGATAGCTAAGGCATTGAACTTCATCATTCAAATCAGACAAAGAGAGATATACAGCTGGGTGTCATCAGTACACTGAAAATGTCAATTTCCTGCACTCTCTCACTGACCCTCTTTGCAGGTTTCTATTTGTGTGAAACAGAAACGGTTCCAACAGTACCTCAAACCCAGAGATCCACTTAGGAAAAGGACTCCATAACAATCCACTCAGGGTGGTGTCATATGTTCACTTGCAACAGTTGCAAGTAACTGGAATGTAGGAACCTATTAAAAGAAGGAGGTGTTTGGAGATTACCCTTACTTCAAATGGAATAACTTTGCAATGCCATGGGAGCATTTAACACACATTAAGGTGCCTGGAAGTGCATCTGCTCACATTTTAACTGAGTTTAGTAAATGTTAAGTTGAACATGTGACACCACCCGGAATGCTCTCAGAGGAAATACCGTGAAGTGCAGATTTGTAGAACAAGTCAGAGAAGGATGATGCGTGCGAGTTTTCTGGTAACCCCAGGGAGGGAGATGAAAGGAGAGCACAGTGACTGCAACAGGATTTTCCAGGGTTTGCATAAGAGTGATAAATATAGAGAAAAAAGATTTTTTCCCCTAACATTTGAGGGTGGAGTTAAGTTCTGTTCAACTTACAAGCTACTTTGTATTCCAGGCCCCAGCAGCATAAAATAAGGGCAACCATAAATTGCTTTGAAACTCTGATCATTAATAAGATTTTTCCACTCTTCAGGAGTGCACACAGTCTGTTTCTTACCTGTAGAAAGTTATTTAACTGGTTCTTAGACTTCTCCATGAATTTCTGATCTACAGACTTGAAGGGCAGTTTGCTGAGAGAAGGCAACTGAACTTTCTTTAATGAAGGAAAACACTAGGCAGGAGAAAAGACAAAGAATGTTAGATTTTTCCATCTCAATTTAAATACACGTGTATAGACAACATGCAGACATGGTTTTGGATCAAAATGAAAATGAAAGAACTCCATCTAATTTACCTGTCTCTTTCCCATTCCTCTGGGTGCCCCGAGGAATCCTTTCCCTTACCCACCCGGGTCTGACATGGCAAATGTTGTGGAGTTCCCTGACTACCAATTCCAAATTCAGACAAAGGAGTGCTGCAAAGTAAGATGAACCACTTTCTTTCCCCAAGTACTCTCTCGCAAGCTGCTCTTTCCTTTGCGAGTAAAAGACCAAGCCCGGCATTCAAGCCAGGGTCTCATATGGCAGTGCAGAATACAAACTATTAGGATATTAAGTTAGTTCAGTTAGAGCAGACAGAGAAGTTACAAGAAACAGGACAAGAGATTAAGCAGAGACAGAAGAGGAAAGAGACCTAGGCAGAAGCCCCTCCTTGCTACAAACAATGTCTGTAAGTCACGGACCATAAACACAAAAGTCAACTATGACATCAAGGGCCCAAGTCAGCTGGCATAAAAGGCAGAAACACCACCCACGTTTTATAGTTACACATGCAAGAGTGGATCCAGAAGGGATGTAGTGCCTTGGATGCACCCCCCCCCACCCCCACCCCCATCCTTTTGGACTACACTAGAAGCAACAGTGAGGATTTTTAAAATCCAAAATCAGGTAAAAATCCCATCCCTCCATCTCAAATTCTTGGCACCCACCCCTTCCCCTCCATCCTCAACAGCACAGCTGCCCCGCTACTGCTGTTCTTGATGTGTGGGGACAGGCGGGCCAGGGAGGAGATGTTCTAGAGCTGTTCCTGCCCGCTCCAGCTGAGAATAGCGGCCACAGCAACAGCAGTGGGAGCTTCCTTCTCTGTCTGGTTCCTGGGGTGTTCCTTGCCAGCCTGGGAGCAAGCATAGCCAAACTTGTCTCCTGCTGTCTTGTGCTGAGCCTGGTATGAAATGAACTGGGAGAGTTGTGGTTTGAGAAGATAGTGGTGGGCTGGGAGTTCAGAGCCTCTGAGTCCAGGCTCAGCAGGAGACAGCAGCATGTGGGGGACCAGGCAGAAAGAAGGATTCCCACCTGCTGTCTCTGATGCCTTCCCAGCTGAGCCAGGGAATCAGGATCCCCACCCCCGCAACCACCCAGGACACTGGCAGCCAACCTGGGTAGAGGAAGGGGCAAATGGAAGAAGAGGGGACATAATGCTGACAAAAGAGGGGAAATGAAGGGATGCTGACAGCTGGGGAAGGAGACAGGGGATTTTCCTAATTTGGGTACTTAAAAGAAAATTCCTGCTGTTGGTCCTACAAAGCAGTCTGCCTGCCTGGGGTGAAGAAGCTGGGATGCTGCCTGGGGTGAAGAAGCTGGGATGCAGTGCCTATTGCTACTCCCAACCCCACCTCAAAAACTCCTTGATCTACCCATGACCACATGTAATGTCTGTACAGTCAAATGCTACAGTCCATAACTACCCACTAGGGGTGGTATCACATGTTCACCTGCAACAGTTGCAAATCACTGGAATGCAGTAACCTATTCAAAATAGGAGGTGTTAGGAGATAACCCTCACTTCAAATGGAATAATTTAGCAATGCCATACTTGCACTCCCAGCATCTCAGAATTGATCTGCTCTCCTCCACCCACTCCAAGAGGCTGGGGGAGGGTGGGGAGGGCAGAAGGGGGTGAAGGGAAAGTGGCTGGCTTCATGGTAGCCTGCCAGGGAACTAAGCTGCTGCCCACCAATTACTGACAGGCTCCCCTGGGGTTCAGGGAGCAGAGGAGCAATCCTCCATTGCCCCCTGATTGGAAAGCACACTTTCAGAGCAACTTTGCAATGTGCCAGCCAGGGAGTTGTAGACAAATGTACATCCCTGATAATACCACACTTCGGTAGCACTGTAAATTGCTACAGCACTTTTGGCACTATAAGCGTCCATGACTTCAGACTTCCTTTTAAGCACTGCCTGTCATCTATCCTTCCATCCCAAAATTTCAGCCTGTATGCACTGCCATTTCAGAAAACTAATTGTGTTCTATTTCCTGTATCACCTCCTACACAACCATCTCTTCCAAGTCCTTCTCTTATTGCACCAGTGTATCATCAAGATAAACCTGTTCATCAAGAACCTAATAATCTCACCAGCATCCAAGGCTTATAAACACATTTCCATCCACCTTTTAATATTATTCTTGCTCATTAACAGAAACAGCTTTTTTTTTACTTTGTAAAAAAAAAGTTTCGTCATTTAAGTCAAGATTTCTGTGTTTCCAAGTTAAAGGTGGCAATCGTAACTTTTTTTTAAAGTACTGTTCTTTTTGCACATTTAAAACTGGAAAATCCTAGCATTTTAGTACGACAAATCCACTTCTGAGAGACTTTTTCATACCTCACTGAGTTTCCGGTGTAGATTTTGAAACTCACTGAGCTTCCTGGGAACAGTCCAGTTCTTAGTTTCAGCTCCACCAGCTTCTTGTAAACTCACCATGACAGAGTAGCAGGGCACTTGCTCCCCATTCTCTTCTACAACCTTGGATGAGAGAAGGAACATATGAATTACTAAAAAAGTAAGTAGTGAAACATTTAACCTGCATACAACTGGCATGTAAATTTATGATCATCACCACAGTTTAATGCTCTCCACTGAAGTTTAGAGGTCTCATACCAAGCTATGCTTCACTGGACTAAACCTAATCCGGGATATTGTGGATCAGCCCTCAATTGTCTCTCAGCTAACCACCATTTTTTGTCTTTGTCAACAGACTTGTCATACTACCTGTCATTAGCAGAATCCATTTTACATCTCTTCTTAAGACAGATGCATCCCTTTGTTATTTAAGTTCTTCAGTATTTGATTCACTTTTCATGTGCATTTGCTCTCTTTCTCTCTCTCTCTATGATGACATATAACCTTCCCCTTTTTACTGAATAGGTTTCGACTTTTGTACCACCTTTTTTTCTAAGCACCTTATCGTCATTTTGTAAGTCACTGCAGGGATCCACTGTTGTAGTGTTCCAGTAACTAGTCTCTCCATTCAGGCTCAATTCCAGCTCAAAAAAATCCAATTGCCTTTTCTTATTCCGTACTGACACTTAACTTTTTCCTGGACTTTTCTTAAGTAGTTTCTTGCTCTTCATATTTTAACTACTATTCTATCTCAGCTTGCCCTGCCTTGAGACATACACACACAAACCACAGCAATGTCTATACTGTTGACTGTGCTAGGTGAATGCCGCCATGTGCTAACTTCTGTTCACCTTTCCTTTTTGAGCTCTGCATGCATGCAGAGCGATTCCTGCCTACTACTAGAACGTTCATATCCTATGCACCTATGAGGAATTGAGACATACAACGGCCCCACAAAGTATGTATTATCATCTGCATTTTACACATGAAGAAAGAAAGGGCTTTCAATGAACTCTCTCAAGCAAATGGAGAAGATTGGCAGCTACAACAGAATTAAGATTTTTAGCTCCAATTCTCTTGCATCAATCAAGATGCCACATTCCCTCTCCTAACCAACTGTTTTCTTTGTTTTTAATAAGTTTTTAAAAAGTACACCTATGTTATCTTGCCTTTATCTCACTAAGTATACTTGAAGTAGCTCCCATGTAGAAGCCTTTAATGAAATCAATATTTAAAATGTATGGTACTGATATGCCACACCAAATTAAATATAAATTAATGCCTGCATTTGGAGGTCTGGTTGGTTATTGTGAAAGCTTTACACTTTGCCTTTCCATGGCGATAACATTCAGTACATCTATATAAAAATAAAAGAACACAGCAAAATGGTTACCTTAGCTAGTGTATGAATAGGAAACAGGTTAAAACGTAATTATAGCACATCCTCTCAGAGACTGAAGGAACTTTTATATATAATATAAATAGAAGAGGGGTTTTTTGGCTTTTCAAGCAATTTTAATTGCTAAGAAGGTATCTTTTAACTAACCCAATTAAGGTCAGTAAGAACTATAATATTCATTTGATGACACATCTCCTGGGAGAGCTGCAAAAGTAGGACAGATTTTATAAATGTTAATGGCAGGCAGGTCCCGCAATTACTATGCCAGGACTGTAAATGGCATATCGTTAAAATAGATATAAATCTTCACCTAAATCACACTAGGAAAATATTGTTTGTAATGTCCCTTCCTTGGGCTGCACATGATTCTTGGGAAACTCATCTTTGTGTAGAATGTGTATGAGACAAATATCTGACAGTAGCTCGCAATATCTCAATAAGCAGCCACAAAGAATTCAAGAGGCTGGTTTTAACGTCTAAAGTCTTGCATGGTTTTGAACACAGCTACCTGTTTCCTCATGCCATACTGTCACAGATGAGACCAGGAGAGTCAGTTGAACTGGAACTCCCTTGGTGCAAGTAAGAGGGAATGAGTAGGAGCATAGGCAACTCATAGGGGGTGCATGTGCCCACACCGATGGCTGACACTGATGCTGTCCAGCAGGGCTGGTGTCCCCCAACAGGGCCGCCGCCATCAGCGGCTTCTCTGGGTACCCTCCCAGATTCAGGAGACACCAGTTGCTCATGGGTAGGAGGGACATTTTCTGTGAAAGTCTAAGACTTCCTTCCTTGCCCTACCACAACATGTATTACTCTTCAAGCTAACAGTAAACCCATTCTCTCACAGGCACTTTCAGAGGTTCAGTGACGAAAAATGGAGGGGCTCAGTCTGAGATAGGACAATGAGTGATTATCCTGCATTACATAAATCTCCAAAAGATAAGCTCTCACACAGGTAAAGAAACTTAAGAAGTGTGACACAGGTGCTCTCAAACCTTCAGGGTACCCTTTAGCCCCAAATCCCACTTCGACATCTGCTACTTGGCCACTGAAAACAGACCAAGATGCTCCAAAGGTCATCTCCTTGATCAATGGTGCATCACCCTTGCCCACCTCATCCAGGTCTTGCCAGCTTTTAGCAGCGGGGATTTTGCCAGCTAGAAGAATCACACCCTTGTCAAGTGCAAATCTACCCTTGTGCCCAGAAACAATAGATCCCCTCTTCCTTGGAAAAGGCCTGTCTGTATGGTCAAAGACTCTGAAATCACACTTACCACAGACAGTAATAATTTATAAAAAACTATGGATAACAAGTGTACTATAGAAGCAAACCTAAGAAATCTGCACCCATATGTTGAGATACATAGATGTAAGAATACACAAACAAAAGGAAATATCAGAAGAATAATCTGATTTTACACTGGATCTTAAACCTAAGAAAGCAGCTTCTACTCAGCTCAATAGGTTAGAAAGCAGCTCCTGCCTCTGACCTTCCTATCAGGACTCCATGAAACTTCTGTCAGCCAGAATACCCAGCCCTCTGAATGAGGGTTAAAAGTCATTCCCTCTCTGCCTGCAAAGATTGAATCAATTCAGGCTCCAGCTTTTTGAATGTCTGTCCCTAGCCCCTATGCAATATCATCTAAATGCTAATTATTAGGACACAGATGTAGTTAAAAGTTCACTCCAGTCACCTGCCTGAAATATTCAGCACCATTCATAATCCCTTTTTCAGAAAAAGGGACATTTTGAGTGCTTGAAGTACTTTACATTCGCTGTTTTGGACTAATGACTTACCTTGCAAATATACAGGAACGTCAGACTGAAAGAGACCTTTGGGGAGTTCACTCTCCTGTTATCTTGGCCAACCACTTCACATGATCCCTTTCATAAATTGATCAGATACCATCTAAACCTAGCTGCATAATCTGATCCCACTTTTTCTAGCCCCCTGTACCAGAATCTCACTCCTATGACGGTTAGAAACCACCTTCTAATAATCTAGGCTAAAGTCTCCTGTGGACCATATATTCTTGTACCCATATTGTCTTTTAGCATTAACAGCATTTCTTTCTGCCTGGAGGTTCATCCTTCCTTCTCCCCCTTTGCTGTCTGTAAAGTTATAATGAGGGGTCATCAAATCCATCTCAGCCTTGGTTTTGCTAGGCAAAAGAAATCAAGATCTTAATTTCACTTGTACAGTAAGCTTTTCGTGCCCCTGGTCATCCTCATAGCCCCTTCTCTGAACCCATGGCAGTTTAAGTTGATCTTTCTTGAACATGAGGGACAAGAATTGCACATGGGATCACAAATGAGGTTTCACCATGAACTGTGCAATGATATTAATATTTCCCAATCTTTGGAGAAATATCTGGACTGATGCAATCCTAAAATCACATGCGTCTTTTTTATGGTTCATGGTCAACCTATACTCTGGTATTTTTTTCCACGATAATTTCTAACATCAAATCATAGCAGAACTTCTTGCACTTGGTCCCTAGAGCGTATGACCTTGTTTTGTACTACTGATTTTAATCTAATTTCTGTTAATCTAGTCCTAAAATCACCCAACATCTCCTGTTTGATATCCCAATCTTCCTCCACTATGCCAGTGCCTCCCAGCTTTGCTTCATCAGCAAGTTTTATCAGTATGCCTATGCCTGTCGAGTCCAAGTTATTAATGAGGACATTTAGTAAAACTCATCCCAAAAGCAATCTCTGAGATAGTCCAGTGAAAGAGGTACTCCCTGCATACATGAGAATTTACACCCCAACCTGGAATGGAACCATGCATGGATAAAGAGGTAATTATGATTTAGGTACCAGACTTTTCATTGTAAACCTGAGTGTAACTTCCTTATTATATAACATGGATAATCCCAAATCCTACAACAAGCTAGAAAAAAACATGCTAAGGAAATGGAATTCACCAAACTAAGGTGCTTCTTTTTAGTAATATTTTAGATCTTGCTGTACAGTTGGGATCTGGCAGTTTGGAAGAAGTGCTTAAATACCTCCATAATGGACAGAGTACAAAGAATATGATGGGAATGATTGGTGCTCTCAGAAATAGGCCCCAGTGGTAAGTTCTATAATTCTTTTCCTGACATAACATCACAGACCTTCAAGTTCAGAGTCGTTTGGATTGTATATACATCCTTCAAGTTAGATACTGCTAGCTAGAGTAAGGAGGACTGAATCAGTATTTAAAACTCAAGCATGCTAGATGCTTTTAGATGATTAATTCGCCTCCCTTGGCTGTGATTCTGCAGCTTCAGGACACCACAAAAAATTATTTTCGAACTTACAGTCTGTCTGATTATACAGCTAGCCTAACAAGGGGAAAGGATACATCTTTCTCCCAACAGGAAAGAAAGTCCAAAGGGTGACAACAAGAAAGGATATGATTTAACTGCAGTTCTGGCTTCAGTTTTGGAAAACCATGTTAGCAAGGAGTCCAAGAGAACAATGAAAATGGGGAAAGAGTTCAGCAAACCAATATGCTGAAATCTATAGGAGAAAAGCATATTATCTACAAACATCTGAAGAAATATTCTAAAGTTGACCAAAAAAAATTATTATTAGATAAGTTACAAAATAAATTCTGACTACGGGCTACCGTAACAAAAATATAATAAAACTTGGTAAGGGAACAGGCTACCAAAAAGGCTGTTGAATCTCTTCACTGAAAACATTCAAAACTTGTCTAGACATCCATTGGGAAGGATTTATTAACAACAATATTAGTTTTGTTACTACGCCAAAAGAACAGATGGACTCACTAAAGGTTCCCTCCCTTCCAACTGGTTCTCTGTAAAACTCAGAGCTGCATGGCCCTGAAGAGTAAGTCAATAATGACATGACTAATGGAAAGGCCTTTCACCAGCCCCTTGAAACATATAAAGAATATATGAAAGGCTTTTTGGCATAGAACATTTATTCTTCCTAACTCAAGGGAAAATAAGTTCCACTTACCAAACTCAGACTATTAGTCTTACCATCTCTAATGGGACTGCTCAAATGAACAAAGGAAGTAAGATTCACCCCGTATAAGATTCACCCCATATTCTAGGTCTATAAATACAATTCTTTGTGAAATCAGTATTTTTAAAAATAAAGACCATGCTCTAGAACTGACCGTTCTGATTTCAGACCAGAGAAAAAGTCTCTCCCCCAGAATATGAAACACCAACAGACCAACAAGGGATGGACCTGGCTGTGGAGCTGCAGCAGTTTATACCAGTTGAGAATCCAGCTCAGATTGTTGTATGGAATGCTATGGACAAATCTCTCTCAGATAAGATTGCCTTTATACAACTACTAGTTACACTAATCCTTCTTCTCAATTTCTGGAAAACAACCAAAATATTCAGTCTCCAAAGACAGTGGTATCAGGACAGCAGCACAATGATGTGGGTGGGCATCCAGAGCACAGAGGCAATGACGACTTCAATTTGTCTTAGATTTGTAGAAAGTTAGGGTTGGAAGGGATCATCAGGAGATCATCTGGTCCAACCTCCTGCTCAAAGCAGGACCATCCACAGCTACATCATCCCAGCCAAAGCTTTGTCTACTCAGGGCAAAAAAACCTCCAAGGGTAGAGATTCCACCACTTCTCTAGGTAACTAGTCCCAATGCTTTACTACCTTCCTAGTGAGAAAGTTTTTCCTAATATCTAATCTAAACTTCCCTTGCTGCAACTTGAGACCATTGCTCCTTGTTCTGTCATCTGCCACGACTGAACTCAGTCTCTTGTTGCTGACATACTTGTAGAAACCCTTCTTGTTATCTTTCAGATCCCTTGCTAGCTGCAACTCCAAGTGTGCTTTGGCCTTCCTAGCTTCATCCCGGCATGCCCGAGGAATACTCTTATATGCCTCCCTTGTTGTTCATCCAACTTTCCACTTCTTTTAAGCTTCCCTTTTTTGTCTTTTAGCTCACTGAAGAGTTCCCTGGTAAACCAAGCTGGTCTTCTGCCATACTTGCTAGTAGGGGTGCACTGATAAAGATTTTTTGGGCCAATACCAGTGGTCAATTTTCAATGAGCCATATGGGCCAATACCCGTCTGGATTGCTGATATGCAGCCAGCAGCTTGGCAAGCAGCCTCCGGCTGGTAAGTCTGCTGTGGGGGAAGGGGCGAGGGGCTGCTGGGAGGGGAGTTATGGGGTGGGGGCTGCAGCCACCCCAAAATTCACAGTATTCCCCCTCCCAGTGCCACCATCACCCGACCTGAGTGCAGCTCAGCCCATCTCCCCCACCGGGAAGAGCCCTACACCACCCCTGGCCCCAGCCTGCAGTGGCAGCCCACCCTCACCTCATGTGCATATCTGGAGGCACAGGTCCCCCCATGCCCTCCCAGGGTGCATGCAGTGGTGCGAGCCACCACCTCCTTCCCGCACCCCACCCAGACAAACCACTCACAGCTCTGTCCTGCACCCTGCCCCGGCTATGGAGCCCCTGCCCCACTCCCTCCCTCACCACTGGGGCCTCAGTCTGTGCCCTCCATGCCCCTTCCCTCACAACAGATTTACCGCCAAACCCAGCTGCTCTCTACACTGCCAGATTTCATTCCTAGTTGCCTGCATGCTGTGCTGCAGCTGCAGATATGCACAGGGCATTTATTGGCAACATCATTGGCCACATCAGCCAAAAAAAGCTGATTGCTGATACTGTCAATTTTCCTTATATCAGTGCCGATCCAATATGGGACCAATGTATCGGTGCACCTCTACTTGCTAGTCTTCCTGTGCATCAGGACAGTCCATTCCTGCACCCTCAGTAAGGTTTCTTTAAAATGCAACCAGCTCTCCAGGACTCCTTTCCCCCTCAGACAGGCCTCCCATGATATCCTGCCCACCAGTTCTCTGAGTGAATTGAAGTCTGATTTTCTGAAGTCCAGGGTCTTTACTCTGTTGTTCTCTTTCCTTCAGGATCCTAAACGCAGTCATCTCATGGCTGCTGCTGCCCAAGTTGCCATCCACATTCCCCACCAATTCTTCCCTATTTGTCACAGTGCTGCTGGTGCAATTGCAGTTGTGACTGCACAGCTGCCAATGGAAGCTAGGGTCGTGGGGGTTTGTTGTTGGGGTTTTTTTGCTCCCCTGTCCAGCAAGTCAATAAATCTGCTTTAAAGAGAAGAAAATGATGTTATCTTGTGTACCCTCTGAACTCCTATATTTTTCCAACTTGGAAAATTTGGAATAATTCTATAAAACATGCTCATAAGAACTACACCTTCAATATTTCCTGCTCTACCTTTTGTTGCCAATTTAATGCAGTATAGTTTTCCCTGTGTACCCCGATAAGAAGGAAGTACATGGGTTTGAATAACACAAGCTGCAAAAAGACATTCTGTAATGCTGTCTGTAGTTCTTCAGCCAAAGATGGGTAGCCCAAGTCATAAACTGAGGAACATATGAATCTGCATCAGGACAGAACAAAATAATCACACTACCCCTATGAAATTCAGAATTCAGAAATTCCTTTTTGAACCTAAGCCTATTAATCCTTTAAAACGTCATATCGTAATATGAAATATAGCAAGTCTTCAGTGTATGCCAGTAAGAGAACACTGCCTCAGAACATTAGCATCATATGATTATAAGGCATAGATGTGATGTCCTCAGTGACGAAACAACAGTGCTCCTTAGACACCACATCACTTGAAACTGTGCCTTAATTCACTTAAAAGGTACTGCTGTTTCAACACCAAACAACATGAAGATCTAGAAACATCTGAAGATCTAGAAACATAAAAGGATGTGCAGGGAATAGTAGCTGGAAGAGAGATTTTTAAAATAAAAACTGAAAAATGAGTGTAACCAGTACATTTTTTTCATTACCCCAGGAGCTGAAGCTAATTCAGAAGAAAAAGCAAAACCATACCTCCCCTGCCTTTATGAAAGCTTTCCACATGCCAAGGTTCTCACACCACCAATCTGTTCTTGCAATGTGTAGCTGAAGGTCACTGTGCTCTCTCTCCATAAGAGTGATTTCATCCTTCAACTTTGAAACAATCTGCCAAGGCAAAGCTACCAGTTAGGATCTGTAAGAAAATATTTATGATACATATACATGACCATGGGTGTCTTCGGTGATAATATTCGGGAAATGGAAAGGGTGAGGGTGAAGCCTGGGAGGAAGGCAGAGAGGGAGAGAGGAATGATTCCTTAGAGCAAATCATTAAAAATCCCATATCTGTACTATCTATGCAGTCTGAAATAGGTTGGCTGAATCCACTGCATTACTTAAAAGGCAATTCACAGTACTAAAATAGAAACCGAGTTTCAAATATATGCTGAATATCTCACCAGGCTAACATACTCACTATTCACCAGGCTAAAGTGATATTCAGAACAGGAATCTTTTCAAAGGACATTTTAAGTTCATTGGAGGTACACTTGCCCCTTAGTTGGGCAAAAAACTAAAATGTAGCAGATCCCACAAAAACTAGAATTATTTGTTGTTGGGCTTCTAAGCTTTTGGGGGGGGGGCGTTAAAAAAGTGCACACATTTTAAAAGGCTTTCTGACTAGGTCAAAGTTCCTTTCAATGTGTTAGCTCTTAAAAGCAAGCAAGCTGTGTCTTACAATGACAGAAAACTGCATGTCATCATGATTTTAAGAAAATTCGGGAATGTGTATAAAATATTGTGCACTTAAAGCAGTCAAAAAAACAAGACACTCTGTGTATTTAAGGTAACTCAAGTTTGTGAGGCATGTTCTTTTTGTACAATTTGCACCAATTGTAGTGCATCCACATTTACAGCAATTCTACTACCATGTATTCAAGTTTTTGTGTTCTTTTAAGATGATGAAGGGTCATTTAAATTCCTGGTACACAATGCTCTGTGAACAGCTATCTTCCTCTTGGGGTGGCATCTCCATTTTCAAGTACCTGTATATAGATCATTTTTGTGATCATCTTATTTTAGCTAGTAAGAATATTAATGAGATATTATGGAAAACAACAGCATCAATAAAGGATCCATAGGGACTGTTACAGCCTGACCACAGGTAAACAATTGTGGAGCTCAGAGAATAAACTGACTCCATTTCAAAAACATATAGCAATGCTAAAAGACAAAGAATATCCAAATAAAGCCCAGAAGTATAAGCTAAATGCCACTGTTCACCAATACAAGGAGGTATTTTTTTCCTAAAAAGAGAGCATGTGCCAAAACAGTTTATTTGTTAAGACTGAAATGACACAACAAATGTGATTTGGTCAAGATGTGCAATATATCATATAACAATGGTTTAGTTACATAGATATTTCTGACCATCGGCAAAGAACCTTGAAAATATAATACCACTGGAATCAACAAGGAAATACATTTCATTCTCTCAAGTAAATACACTATACTCATAACTATAAGCTAACCAGTATATGAATTCATGCATATTTTACATAGCATCTACAGTTGTCCAGTTTACTTTTTTGTACATTTAAGGCTACATAGGAAATGGTGTTAGTAATAAATCGGCTATACCACTGTAAGGAATGTTTTGCCTGAAAATCTCGTTTCATATTTTTAAGATACTTAATAAAAACATCAAAAGTTATATTTCTAAATGTCTAAGACAATTTTATTTCCCTTACTAATTCATATAATTTAAAGGAAAATCATTTTAAAAAAATAGAATTTCCTTCGCATCATTTATTCCAGCAGGTGGCAACATTTTGTGGTGGCAGGACAGAATGGCACAATTCAAGTCCTAGCAGGCTAGCGTTAGGACCTGACCAAACCTACCACTACTGCTTCTCCCTGTCAGCAGCTGCAAAGCAGCACAAGGAAGCTCCTTCCGGCCTGGCTGCCCCGCCATTCAGCTGTAGCACAGCGTGGTACAGGCAAAGTACTGTTGAAGCCTCAGCTCCACAGATCAGATCCAGGATGTCAACCTTAGGTTCAATTTTTTCATTGTTTCACAGCTCAGGGAATGAAAACAGAAGTTACAAGTTTTACTTTCCAGTCACTGGGTCTGGTGCATGGAGATCCAAATGTGACTCACTTGGAAAATATTTATGTCCAAATGAAAACAAGACCTAAGAGCATTTTTTTAGTTTGCATGTAACCTAATAAAAAGAAAACTGGCAGCATAAAACCCCCATTTAGATAATATTGACACATTTATCCATAAGATTCTGCACTCACACACAAGATATTTGGGCATCAACTGCAGAATAAAAAAAACTGACACATACTCAAAGGGTAAGACTGCGACAGCCTGTGTAGCAGTGGCTCTTATTCTTGAAAAGGACATTTGCCTGGCAGTGCTTTGCATTACATTTTTGTGCTCTCTCTGCTGCGTTTAATATGCAATGTTGACAACCGGAATTAAAAGCTTTTTTTCTTTTTTTTTTATTACAAATTATTATTTTTCATTTGTCTCCCTCAATCCTTTCTTCCAGTTCCTAATGGATCTAAAATTAACATTTTTTATTCCTTATTTGCATAGCTGTCATTGAGGATATGACAATGTGGACTAGGATGTTGGGTGAAATTAAATTGGAGGCACAAATCCTACTGAGTTCACATACTGTAAACAGAATCTACACAGAAACAGAAAAGGAAGATAAAGAACCAGGTGGTACATTTTGATAAAAAGGTAATCTAATGCAGAGCTTTCCCCAACAGACTACAAATACTTTAAAAGTAGGTCAAATAACTAGTTTTCTTACCCTTTCACATTTTGTCATTTCATTTATATAAAGAGTTCTTCCTCTCAGAGCATTAGTGGACTCATTTGCTTTCAACATTTTAAGAATTTAAACAAATGAGAAAACATCTGTCAAATTAAAAATAGTATCAAAATGAATATGAAATTGAGGAGGGAATTTAAATAAATCTGTTAATAATTCACAAATTATATTTTTGCTATTCATTAAATAATGGCCTTATTTTCAGAGAAGCTGAGCAACTGCAGCTCCCATTGACTTGTGTGAATTATGCATGCTCACCATCCAGAAAAAAAGAAAATCAGTGATGGATCAAAAACTGGAACCTGAAGTTTAAACCTTTCGAATTGCAGAATGAAAGGGGATTCAGATATGAATACCTACTTCTCAGCTGCTGCCCGCATGGAAAATATTTATAGGAGTAGCCATTCTAAGAACAATTGGCTAAAGTTTGTAGAAGTCTTGAAAGAAGAGCTTGACTTCACAAGACATCTACCATTTAGGGCTAAAAAATATCATAAGAACTCAAAACTCTGGCATGCTCTTAGCTGAACCACTGCACTAAGTCATCTTTGAATCTGAACATTAGTCAGAATCTAATCAAGATCTACCACTTCAGACCTAAAAAAAAATACATTTGAGAAAAAAAATGGTGTCACACTGCAAAAAACAATGACATTAAGGCACATTTTGTTCCAATACTGTAGGACTTTTCACCTGCCTTCACCTTGAAACAGTGTGGTAAAAGAATGGCCTCTGGATTATAAATAACAATTTGCAAACCAATTTAGTTATTCTTTTGTAGAAGTTTTCTTTAATTAAGAAAATGTATTATCATGCTCCATTTAAGCCAGCAGAGGGAGCACAAGTTAAGTAATAAACCAGATCCCCAAAGCCATAGTGCTTTTGGGGAAGCAAGAGTAACTAGAACAGGCTTCTTTGCTTATGGTTGTATAAGCATTTAACTGGAGAAGAGTGAGGCAGATGCACATAAAAAACATATTTACCAAATAGAAGAAAGTTAAAGAAACATTTTCAGGCTCCTGCCAGCCTGCAGAATAGATGCCACTTTGGCAGCCTGTGTGGCATATGGTAGATCAAGGAGGTGACAATAAGCACAGCGGCAGACAGGCTCTGGAGCCACCCACCCTGCACAGAGGCACATGTCTGAATTGAAACACTGTCGACCCTAGATTGGCCTTGTTAGCCCATCTTCAGACCTACAGATAAAGCAATCATGGAAGACAATCATCCTTGACAGTGAGAGATTGCAGATGCAGATATATGTGGCAGATAGGGCAGGAGACAGAAAACAGAAGAACAGATGAGGCAGAGAGCACAAGGAAGCAGAAAGTGAGTAGAAAACTGGATACAGAGAACAGGGCAAGAAGCAGAAAGCTGAACAATAGACCAGGCAGGAGAAGAGGATCAGCATGGCACACAGGAATGTTGTGGTGGTAATTTGTGGCACACCTACCAAGAAAGTTAGCTCCCACTGCTCTAATGTATGTCTAGAATACAACTCTATGGAGCAGGAATTGTGCCTGCTTTGGAACAGTACCAGTGTACTGTTGGGATCATGCAAGTGAGTGAAATAAAAACAGACTGAAAATAGCGAAGTTACCTTTTTGTCGGGTTTTGGTGAATTACATATGGAATTTAGAGCCTGTCTCTTATATTCAAGTTTGTCATTTAGCTGGCGAAGTTTATTTACAGCGTAACTGGCCTGTTCATTAATTCTTGTGCTGCATTCATCAATAGTTTCTTCACAACTCTGGCTCTAGAAATAAAGATCTGGTTAGCAAACAATCCATATCGCTAATGTACAATAAGAGTAAATTTGTTATGTGTTTGCTATGCATGTTTCATTATTTGCACTTTATATCCCGTATACGAAATAACCAACTAATTTTGTAGACAAACCCAGAAGTATGAGTGCACGCTGCACATGTCAGCAGATTGTCTCTCACAGACATGAACAACTGGTGCCTCTCAAGACGCGGGAGAGGGCACATTTGTAGGCAGCAGTGTCGGCAACAAGCAGTGAATGCCTGCAGTCACCGGCGCAGCAGCGGCAGGCAGGCGGGGGGGCAAGCAGCGAGTGGGGACTGCCCGCAGATGCCAGTGGCAGTGGTGAGGACAGGTGGGTGGCGAGTGGCAACTGCCCACAGAAGCCAGTGGCAGCAGCCAATATCGGGGGGGGCACATGTCCATCTCACGCCCCTCCCTACACGTCGCCTATATTTCACAGGTGTTTGAAAGCTCCATATCCATCATGTAATACACAATTAAGAAGTACCCAGACAGCATTAGTTTCAGTTAGATTAAGGCTCTTTTACACTGCTCTCATAGTAGAATAGAGATTTCCACTGAGGCTACAGCGTGAGAGTAAGACTCAAAATTTCTAACATGAAAGTAGAAGGGAGTTTGGTGGTTACGCTCAGTATTTAACAGCAAGCAGTTGAATGAATACTGTGCATCTGAAGCTGGATAACAAAAGTAAATGGGTGCAAATTTTATAAATAAAATCAATTTTCAAAAATTCTGAACTAACCTGAAACTTTTTAATAATTTATTGTTATGACTGGATTTTACTTCTGTTTTACAAGTTTAATAATTTTTTTTTTTTTAAAAGTACTATAATTATATATATTACCATGACTCTGTGTTTCATGTTCTCCTAGTATTATAATGAATCAACACATGGACATTCACTTCTCAGCCAATACAAACAATAGGCATAAAATACGTATGGTCAGCACAAAGGTTTACACCTTTGGGAAACCTGGTCATTACACACCCCTCCAAGTCATGACTAATGCCATCTTCCCTTGCCTGTTGGGTTGTCTCTATCTTGGAAGATGACCTAGACATCCAGTGAAGACAGGCAACCTGATTTGCACCTTCTCTTCAAGAGGCTCCGCCCCTTTTCTAAATTCTTAGGGTTTGTAGAACTTTGTCTGTGGCAATCAGATTAATTTAACCCTACGAGAAATGTGCATGGGCTCTCTCTGGAAAGTGCTCTATAAAATTTAATGAAAAAAATTAACATTCCTTTTGAATTAAATAAACAAAAGGGTTTCATTCTGTATTTAATTCTATACATTTTTTAGGAAGTTTGTCATTAATTGACCAGCAGTCCTTAATCTGATCCTTCAAATAAGGAGGTAGATTGGTTTAGATGAGAGAGCTTTCAGGCTAAAAAAGCTGGATCTTTTTCCCCAATTCTGTCACTTGCCTACTGTGAAGTTGGACAACCAACTTCCACTCTGGGCCCCCGTTTCCTCCCACCTATTTTTCTGTTTTGTCCACATAGGTGTATGTGTACAGCAGTAATTCAGCGAGACTTGACTGGGGCCTCTATGTACTACAACAGCACTGAACAGTATGCATGGACTCAACGAACATCACCACGGAAGAAAAGACTGTATATGACAAGTGAAGAATGGATATGGAAAAACATGAAAGCAGCTCAACCAAAATAATTTAAATCACTGAAAGAGAGTGAGGTTTAACTAAATTTGGCCAAATGTAATGAAATGCTTCAAAAGCATACTAATTAAAAAGCAGAAACTGTATTCATAGGGAAACAGAGAATGACACCTTGTTATTTTCAGCACCTGAGAAACTTTTTAGACAGCAAATACTACTAGAATCACTAGATTTAATTCAAGATATTAAAACTGACTACAGTCCGCAACAATACCTGGTGAGAGTAACAACTGCTTATCAGCAATTTTCCTACCATTTATCTATTCAGATGATACTCTGTAAAAGCAACAGCCAATTAGTCTGAATAAGGTATGACCCCTGCCCCACCTTCATCCAGCTGGCAACATTACGACGCCAAGTCACAGACATGCCACTAATAACTGGCATTGATTGTATTTTTTTGACATTTATCTATACACTATAATACAAGATGTGCCCATTACTTTGGATAACACCACAGTCAAGTAAAAATTAAAGTTAAATGCTAAAACAAATTATGTTTTTATTGGCACATTAGTCTTTCAAAACATGGACATTCTAGTTATTTCAGTAATATGCTGCCTTTAGCATTAGGAGCCAAACATTTTTGTCAAAGAGTTAAAGCAGACACTTGTTTCTCTTACATTCTCAATTCATAAAACTTCAAATAAGTCCTCTGTAAAGAAGAGAAGTGGTGTGCTCTAGTGACTTAGAAAAAACATAATTACTGCCTTATAAATTCAAGATAATCTACTCATTATTCATAAAGTCTTCATTTGTTTACAAATTGCATCATAGCACTATGTATTTGGACAAAGAACTTGCAATAGTCTTTGCATTATTATAGCCATCTTCACTGGATTGCTGCCAATAGCATCTATGGAACATTTTGTTACTCCTGTTTGTCAGACAGAAAATATTAATGTGATACTATAAAATTCTTCACTAATTAGCTACATGCTGTGAGCACTGTTCAGGCAAAGACATCTTAAGACGAGGGGAATCAAGAGTATAGATTGCAGGATTTGGCTTTTAATAAGCTTTCAAACAAAAAAACAACAGAAAACTATGCATCCTGATAAATGAAACATGAATAACATTTTCATCCATGCATTTATGCAGGCTTGGCAGAATTCACAATTTTTTAAATATAATTTTGATGCCTAAAAATTGATGTTTATTTTTAAGCATTTATTTTTATTAATTTGAATTTTTAGGATTGAATGATATTAGGGATGTGGGGGCATGTGCGTGCATGCATGTGTATGTGTGCGCGCACACACACCCACACCCCCCTGCATCTTCCTCTGAGCCAGCACAAAGGAGGCGCAGGGGAAGCTCTTTTGCCCCCAGCCCCCCAGCCCAGGAGAAGGTCCCTGCTCCATGGCACCCCCTGCTCCCCAGCAAGGAAACTTCTAGCTGAGGCAGTGGCATTTGTTCCCTGCAACCAGTGGCTCATTCCTTCCATCAGCTCCTGCCTGAGTTTGCAAGGGAGGGCCCAGCTGGCTGGCACCTTGCAGGAACTGAGATGGGGAGGCAGGGGACAGGGCAGACACACTGCCCAGCCTGCCCCCAGCCACTATCCACCCCTCCCCCACCCAGACCCCTCTGAATACTACAGTGGCAGCCTATTGTTACTAGTTCTTTCTATAAATTTTGATTATTAATGATGGAAATGTTTTGTCATTAGAGTGTGAGGTGAATTCACCATTTATCAACACTTATGGACAAAAACTGAATCCTGCCAAGGATACTATGCCATTGGCGGATACTAATCGGAGTGGGCCACACATTAGAAATACAGTATTAAGAGATATATTGGAGAAGGAGGGGGGAGGGGGGGGAACAGAGGTCCCTGCAATTGAGAATGGCAAATGCAAGGCATATTGACTAGCAATTCCACCAACAGCAGAGGCCTCACAAAATCAGGGCCACAGCTTTATTTCTCTCTATAACCCGGCAACAGTACACAGAGGCTATAAAGAGATGTCTTCTTTGAAGTGCGGTCAGCTGTTATGGGATGTGTCCCAGCACGGGTGATTCACTTCACTGGGCAGCACAGATGATTCCCACTGTCCTGAGTCAGGGCCCACTCTCCCCCTATAAAGAAAACAGATATCTGCCACAAAAAAAGAGGCACAATTATTTACTACCTATTCGCGCAGCCATAAATTTGGACATTTGTGGCATGGATGTCTGTTTGCTTGAGCTCTGTGCCACCTGTTTGCAGCCTTTGTGGGAAGTGGGGAAAGGAAAGAAGTCAAGTTCTGGCCATATCTGTTATATTGCTGTAACAAACTTTGATGTGAAGTATAGTCTACCATTCTGGTTCCCTTACAGACATTATAGGTTTCCTTGAAGGTGTGCTTCTTGCCCTCTATCCATGTTGTAACTCTGTCTTTTACCCAGTTTTCAGAGATGCTACATACCCATTCCTCCTACACTGTCTTGGAAAAAAGTAGGCATTTACCAGCCAGAGGGATTTAAAAATAAGTGAAACCATCAGCCTCTGCTAAGAGAATGAAACACTCCAGAAACAAACAATTCTGCTAGAGGAAATGGATTTCTCAGTTGCATCTTTTACTATAGATGAAGCCGAAAAGCCATTAGTCAACAATGCAATTTCTCCCCATATCTGAAAGCCCATGGGGAGCTTCTGGAGTTAAGATTCAATCCTTCTTATTCTCAGTTAAAAACCCTTGAGACACACCAGACAGCAGTTAGCTTGGCTACGTTAGAGAAAAGTGCTCTAATTGTACACTCTTTGTTATCGATTTGTGATAAACAGTTAAAAAAAAGAAGATTTTTCCCCGTCGCAGAATAGCTGGCATATTGCTCTTTACAAGTTTCATGTCAGAGGCAGCCTTTAAATTCTGCATATATTCCCTCAAGATTTTAAAACGACACCTGAGGCTAAGGCTAAAGAATTAGATTTTAAGAACTGTGGAAGAATCCAAGATAGATATCACCTGACAGAAGAGAGAGAGCTATTCTTGAAGTGTTATGTCAGTATGTCCAGAAAAATTGCTATTTGTGTCAGGCTCTGGATAAAATACATTAGGCGATTAATATTGGGGGAGGGGCGGTGTTTAATCATTTGGGCTATACAATAACAGTGTTTTCTGAAAATCCTGGTGACTGCTTGGATCCCCAGGACACACCCTTGATGTGCCTACCATCTCCAGATTATTTAAAGCATATGAAGCTGAGCATCAGGAAGGGGATGAAACATGTACAGCAGGGTTCTTGAATCCTTTATCAAAAACAATTTGAGGGAGGAACAAATGTTCAAAGAAGGAATATGCTGCAGAACTATGCATCAATAGCATTTGCTTAAAACAGTTTCTCTCTCAAAATTATTTCTTTTTTCCCCAATAGGTAGAACAGATAGAATACAGTATTTTAAGAGCTTTCAATTATATTTAATTGATACATCTGAAAGTTTAACAATTTAAAAAAAATGTTTGAAAGCATTTACAATTGTGGAATGCATCTCAATACATCCAGACTCTAAGTTCCTGTTTGAGCACCCATGTCTGGCCTTTAACTTTTCTTTTTCTTAGCTTATCCACTTACAAACCAAAGATACTAATAGACCTGGACTTATATTGGGATTTATTCATTAAATGTCTGCAAAATGGGTTCAAGATTCTTGGACAAGAAGTAGTACTAGTTATTTTGATTTAGCTGCTGAATTGGCTTATAACAATTGCTGCTACAAAAATCTGGCCCAGGAGAGCCACCATTTGGGGGGGGAGGCATGGGGGGAAAATCACTTTACAGTATTCTCAATTTAATTTTTTAATATCTTCAATTGTAGCCTTACTTTGTTTTCTAGCATTATCCTCTAATATAGCATTAAAATGAGCTTCTCTGTGAAATTAATAAATAATATTAAGATTCAGATATACTATAATGCTTTATCTTCATTTGAAAGATAACCAGTATAAAACTCTCAAACACTACTTTTTCTCTCCCTCTTATGATTTTTTTTTAGTACCTATATTCTGCAGCTATTTAAGGCTTTAAAAATTAGGACTTATGTGGAAGTAACAAATTTAGTTATTTTATTTCACCATATTTCAGTTGTTTTAACAGACCCCTATAACTAGTAATAAGTTTGACTATTAATAATAATAGTCAATTTCATAGCTGACTTAAAAATCAGTTATTTCAGCAGTAATTATCATCACCTGAAAACAAAATGAAAGTGCATCTCCACTTCCTTCATAAAACAGCACAACTCTCAACTTCTAAAGAGCATGAGAGATAGCATCAAAAAATCTGAGACATTTAGAAACCCGGAAGGCCTCTATAAGCTTTTGCTAATTTAACAAAGTCCAACTATTCTGCCATCTTAAAGATATCATATCTCATTCAATTAAGGACTGTACCTTTTTAAAACATTTTAGCACCTGTTCAGTGTTGTCTTAGTGATCAAAATAAAACAAAAAATCAACATGAAAACAACTGGTGATACATAATAATACATGCTAATGCTGAGGTTCACTATTACTATGATACTGTGCTTGCATTGTGATTAACAACTGCCCCAAAGACAACCCAGTGACTACCCAAAAAACAGATGTGCTTAGATTTCGTTCTTTTAGATAAAAGAATGAAAACTGTACTTGGTAACTATAAAGTGCAAAGACAACACTCTCAAAATAGACTCAGCAGAGCTGGACAAATAGTTTCCTTCTTAATCAACAAACACTATGTGTCCTTGTAACTTAAGAAAAAGGCCTCTGCTGTGCGCATGCTACCATAGCTCTTAAGTCCCTGAAAAAAAATATGAAGCATGGATCCTTAGGCTCTGACTTTTTATATTTGCTGGTGGATGCTTGCAGGCATTTAAAAAAACAAAAACAAAAACAGCACTTTAACTTGGCAGAAAAGCAGTGCACGTTACTTCTACCCGGCTCTGCAGTGTCTGTAAAGATTAGGTGCTTTAAGTGGGGTTTTTTGGCACTTTTATCTAATTGCTGACTGAATGAGCTTTAGTTAAAAGCACCAAAAACCCTTGCTGAGTGTGAAAGTGCCCAATCTTTACAGACACTACAGAGCTGGGTTGAAGTAACGCACTGCTACTTCTGGTAAAGTGTGGGTTTTTTTCTTTTTCTTTTATTTTTTTAAAACTTTTTTACATCTACAGGCAGCTTTGTGGGTGCTGAGCACCCACTAATTTTTTTCAGTGGGTGCTTGAACCCTGGAACATGGAGTCAGCACCTATCCAGGGATTAATTTTGTCATGTTTGGAGGAGCAGCAACTAGAAAACAGATCAAAGAAAGAAAGATGAATGCAGAACTTGAAATTAGGAAATGCTCCTTAGTTTTATTCCCAGATCACCTACCAGTAACTTAAGCAGCAGAAATTGGAGATCTGACTCACCACTCCATGCTTGTCCTCAGCAGTTAGTTGAACAGCACTTCTTTCTTCTTCTTTCTTAATCAGCCTCTCATACAAATCACTGACGATGAATGAGGGGTAGTATCTATCCTTCAGTGTTCCATAAACAGCAGTCTGAATTTTATAGAATACCTCAATGCCTTTATTACCCACAAGGCTTTGCTGTATTTCTTTGTAAAGTGATTTTTCCACAGGGATTTCTTTGCTTTCCACAAAAAATTTTTGATAAATTTCACTCACCAGTTGAGGTATTTCAGTCTGAGAAATTGAGGGGGGGGGTGTGAAAAAACAAACAAAAAACAAACCTTTAAATATATCAGTCCTCAAAATCCTGATGCATTTAATATGAAAAAGGCTGAACTAGCTAAACTCATGCCCAGGCACGTCAGTACACATCTCAGCTGCTTTGCTTGTGCACCCATGCAGAGCTGTCAGTTTTACAGGTGACACAAGTCTTCAAAACAGAGGACCTGCCAAGCCCTAAGACAACTTAATCTCTACATAAATTATGTGCATCAAATTTTGTATCATATTTAAAGAACTGTGTACCATACTTGCACTCTGCTTACTGTTTTAATTAAAACAGAAGGAACAGAAGGAACCCGTCATTGTGGTAGTTTTCTTAGCTTCTAGCTTTAACTGGGCAAACAAATTCTCTTCCTACAAAATATTTTGTTTTTCGTACAACTATAAATAGTGTTGGTTTTTTGAGAGAGAAAACACCACAATATATATGCACACAGATAGATATGGACACACATTTCCAATGTGCACAAAAGAAGGTACAGGGATAAAAAATTACGCTACCAAGGAAAAAAAGAGGGTGTGGGGAGACTAATCTGCAACCATTTCCCTGATGGTATCAGATGACCCAGGTATCAAGCAGAAGAAGGGTTCCATGGACCATCATAAGCATAAAACGTAGAACCTCTTTAAAAATGAGTAGACATGAGTCAGGGCATTAAAACACACAAGGCCATCATAGTTAATAGGTCTGGGAGTAATTAGCAGCACTTCTGAGCTATACACAAACAACAATTTCTACGTGCGTTAGATACTTATGTTTTACGGACAAACCGCAATCTGTAGTCATCCAGTAACTATTCAGTCCAACCATGTCTTACACTGCTCATTATTCATGGCATCAGCTAACACCAGCTGAAGTTACCCACTTTCTACCAAGAGAACTGTCATTCTCCTGGTAGAAAACAGATGCTCAAGGTTTTTTTTTCCTTGAGCACCAAAAGTAGCTGCTCCAGGCAAAAAATAACCCAGGAACAATTATGCTTAAATTGCTCCACGTTTTTCCTGGGACACTGAACATCTGCACACTTTTCCCCAACTTAACTCTTTCTGGGGACAAGAAGTGTGGAGCTGGGGGAAAGGTTTCCAAGCCTTTCCAAGATCAGGGTCACCCTAGTCTAGAGAAGGTATGGGGGCAGCTGCTCTCCTCCTGCCCATCTACAGAAGAGGAAGGGAAGAGCACACCCAAGTGCTCCACGCTTACTTCTCACACCAGAGTTCTTTGCAGTGCCATTCCCTCTGTCTAGCAGCCTGGTACCAAGTGAAGACTACGTCCTACCCATTCAGCTGAGCAGCAAGGGTGGCAATTGAAAATCTGGCATGGGCAGCAGCTCTTGGCTGCACTGGCTTCCCCTTGCATCCCCACCCCACTGCTCAGCTGAGCTAAAAGGAGGCAATTTAAAAGCTGCAGGGACCAGGAGTCATTCTTGAAGAAAGCCTCCCAAGCCTGGGCCCCAAACCCCTGCAGATTCCTCATGTCTCCCCTGCTACTCAGCTGAACAACAGAGAGAGCCAATTAAAAGCTGAAGGGGTCAGCAGCCTGGCATGCAGAGACTTTCCCCAAGCCCAGCTCCCAGCCCTGCCAGCTTCCCCTTGCTGTACAGAAGCAGAATAGGGCAAGGCAGGCTGCTGCACCACAATGGCAAGGCTTGGGACTCTTGCCACCACAGCAAAATGGCCCTGCCTGGGTTAGTCTGGAGCAGGCTGCTGTGCCCCTGCACTAAGGATCCCCTTGCTGCGACAGCTGAGTGCATCCCTCGACCTCCCTGCACTCCTCCAGGTCAGTCTGGAGGAATGCAAGGAGTCAAGGTGGA